GTCGCGAAATCAGACTTATCCGCACCTAGGTAGAAGACAATGATTTGAACAACCGGTCTAAAGATCCCATAAGCTGAGACAGGGCAAAAGTCGATAATTGTGTGGAAAGTCATTTCGTCCACATATACCCAGCAGTCCGTCCATATAGTTACCTATTAGTACCCGACGATTACATATCGATCTTACCTGCGTGTAAGTCGACTATACTACATGTAGTTTAGGCGAATCAAATATCTTCCATATACCACAGCACGTTTTTTGAACACCAAGACGTCTCGAGGAGGACAAGTGATACATCACGTAACTATCCGTTCAGCTCGCAGCTCGCAGCTCGCAGCTCGTGCTGAAACTGTACCTACATACTATGTAGGTAAGGTAGGTAATGATAGAATACTGCGAAGAATAAGAGAGCATGAGTGCCCACGTACTCGCTGGCGTCATGGAATCTCAAAAAGAGTTAGTCAAAATACTTAGACCTTAATAAACGTCCTAACATTGCCTAGTAGGCAGTTAACTATGTATCAATAAAGTTGCCGTTAGATATATCCACACAACGTGAGAAACGTCATTGACATGTACGATACATATAAATATAATACATAGCGCCCACCCTCGCCCAGCTCGAGATCTCTGCACGTCAGTCTCATCATATCCTCGATATTCAGGGACCAAGTTGCAAATGTGGTGCGTGTGGTCCTAGTGTAAACGCTGCGGGCTGCGATCTTCGGCGGCTACAGCGCGCTGTCACAACCCGTAAATTGGGTGGAGCCGTACTGCAGACTGTGACACCGTGTACGTATTTAAATGCTGGGTATTGGATGAGACTACATGAGACTACATGAGACTACATATGTAGATAGTAGCATACATATGTATCTAACCTAGATGGGCACAGATTGTCAGAGCCTGCATGTCTAGCCTGGCCTGCCATTTTTAGTCCAAGGTGTGCTTCCATAAGGGGGGGTGTGCCCTGTTTCGAGAAGCAAACCTCATTCATGAGGACTTTACTATGTATAAAGGGACACGATATTACTATATCTATATCTATATCTATTTGTTATATGTTACCTATACCATTATACATACAGATGCTTCAAAGAAGACCATAGAATACCAAAGTGGTGTTTTGGCAGCGATTCGTGCTTTGTAGACGAGCTTCGTCGTTTATTACTACATAGTCACATATCCACTGCCTACTGCAAAACCTATTACGAGACCGAGATAGGTAGGCAATAGATCAGAGCAGCGATATTGATTTCTGGGTAGGGCTATTGGCCCGAATGAACTCCTCATGGTGATGAACTACCATAATAGTAACGTGGCCTACGTAAGTTGACTTCAAAAAGTGTGCGCCATGGACAATTGAGATCAATCTACACAGTATTTCTACAAAAAAGATGCTGGGTTGTCTGTCTGTATGTAGTCGTTATAGCATGTATACATAGCAGATGTGCAAGGCCGCCGGCGGGATGGCAAAGTTGGATCGACTCATCCGCTTCTGTCGCCGGTGATAGCCCACTTCGCGACGCATACTGCACACGCCGCCCACATACTACGTACATTCACGTACATTCGCATACATGTACATATTGTAAATGTTCTAGAATGCAGAAGCACGATTGGGTAAAGGGGCGTGGTGTACTATGTAAATATGGATGGCACAGGATTGGGACTGGTCGAGGCAAGAGACGATGATGTGCCTGCAGGCCACTAAGAGAGACCGAAGAACCATCAGATACATGTGTACATGGTAGATTTGCATACCTACATGTCAGGTATTACATATTACCTAGTATACACACGTACTGTGTATTATGCTACCAGTCGAGGAACCATACATACAATTGTACATAGCTAGCTGCTAGCATACTATTTACATACATAGGTACTATCGGTGATGTAGAGCGTAAGTACTATCTATGTATGGATAGAGAGCCGTTCAAGGGTCCAGACGTCCTCTCACACGCAACGGCTGCTGGGGCCTTTGAAAGTCCTTGATTTCAAACCAGAGAAGATTCAAATAGGTTACCAAGCTCCATTTCGCCGAGCTCGCTCCGCGTAGGCTGGTAGTTCCCTGGAGATCATCGTCATGGGTACTATAGCTAGTGTGTTTGGTAGTTTTGACTGTCTATATTATATGTGCCCTAGTGTAGGTATGTATGTAGGTATGTATGTATGTAAGTATGTATGTAAGTGCGGCTATATGTGGTAGCTATATGTATAACTACTAGGTAGTAATACTGGAAGTAATACTCAATGTTTCTCATATTATGAAAGAATCAATGTCATGGTGATAATAGCAAGACTCAGCGTACATACCTCTACCTGGGGTATATCCTACATTCAACATGTTGGAAAGGAAATGGAAGAAATGAAGAGATCGAGTAATACTACTATTATGTATGTAACTGCGTACGTACATTGATGATACATTTCTAGTACATACGTATTGCTGTACTAGGTAGGTCTCTATGTATGTAATAGGTATTATGTATGTCTGTATGCAGCATCTGCGTGATTCGGCTTTGAGGATACTTCCAACTGATGTATAATATACTTCACTCTGATTTGCATCTTGTGACCTAGACCCACTCCCCGCTGTGGATTTGGCTCCGGCGGTTCTTATTAAAAGATCCAATCACGCCAGAAGAAAAGGTGTATACCCTTGTTTAGGCGTCCCTTGTCAGTGACCGTCCTGCCCTGAAACTAAAGACTTGCCCTTGCGCAAGATCAGGCCACGCGCAATCGCTTAAACAAGGTACAAGTGACTCAACCCGGTTGTACCACCACCAATTTTATCCGTATCAAGTGACCTGCCTTAGCTTAATATTGAACAGTTGAAGCAGATTTTAGTATTTTTACATACATACTACTATGTAGTACTAGGTATGTACCCTCAGAATAGTATGTATCAATTCATGGATGTAGTACTCCAGACTCCAGTCTGGTACTATGTAACTACTAGGTATATAGTGTAGACATATGTACGCAGTACTGCACTTGCACTGCCCACAGCCCACTCGCCTACTAGGACCTACATAGTATGTAGCAGCCTACCTAGTACGCATGTAGGTAGCAGCCTAGGTAGGCCGTAGGTACTAGGTAGTACCTTTAGCAGCTTAGCAATTCTTAGCACATGCAGTTATGTATCCTACCCTGGGTAGGTATGAATCTCGGGCTGCGATGAAATCACACTGTGGCAATGCCCCGGCGTTTTGCCTTTTAGTAGTAGCAACATTGGAAGAAACCAACATGAACCCATGGAAAGTCCAAGAAAGGATGACCCGGTTAGTACTAGTCTACCTACCTAGCAGGTAGTACCTGCTACTATGTACCTGCCTAGGTACAATACATACATCCATGATACATAACTAATGGTATTCAATATTCCGATGTCAATGTTCTTCAACCGAACATTGAAGTTCTTGATCAAACCTTTGTTTTCTTGCTTCCACTCTATCCGCAATTCCAACTAAGTTGGAATGGGGGGTCCCAGGCCCTCCTGGTCTTCTGGCCCCCTGTAGAGTAGCGTCTTTTAAAAGCCAATAAAAGTGCGCGGTTCAACAGAGGTTCCGCTTTTTAATTTATATATTCATGTACTTCCACCATTACATTTTTAATTGTTTTTTCTTTTTTATTCAGCCAATCAAATCTCATCACCTCATCAGCTGACCAATCATATTATTTAATTTTTGTAAAAATACCTTGCAACACCAGCTACATACGAAGCACCATAAGGACAAATCAACGGCTGCTTTAGCTAATCCAAATCGAGCCTTTTGATTGGACTCAAACCCCTTGTAAGTCACGTGACATATTTGAAGCGGCTCAAATGGTTTTTCCGATTGAAGCTAACAATCTAATCAGAAAGCTACTTTTCGAAAAAGTAGGTAAAGCAGTGGATCAACTCCCGATCCGATTGGCTATTTGAAGCTAGATGTATTAGCCTAAAACGGCTAGTGGAAAGGCTTAAGCCTTTTAAGCGAGCCAAGGTTTATCCGGATCTAAATGAGACGTTTGTCCGAATTAAGCATATGATTTGCACTAGGACCGAAATCAGAAAAAGGCTAACCCTAAGGGGGAACAGTGGGATGGTTTAATTGGCTGGATTTGAGGAGCTATGCTTAGAATGGCAGTTGGAGCTTTTTTAACCAATTATATTGTAGAAATTTATCTCTTTCTTTCCAATGTACCGCGCTATCTTAAAAGCGGCTAGACTAGATCCATTAATAGACAGGGGGCCAGAAGACCAGGAGTGCCTGGGACCCCCTATTCCAACTTAGTTATCTGCTCCAATTGAGAATGAATGTCTTTCTTCTTTTCATTTTTATAGACTTGTTCGATTGACATAAGACCGTTATATATTCAAACTACTCAATACCTCGGTTTCTATCTTTTTATCTACCTAGGTAGATAGACCTCGGACGTACAATACAGTACTACACTGCATGACCAATGACCATACATTAAGTTGCATACATCCATGGATACCTTATGTAGTCACGGGGTATTATGCAATAAACGATACTAAAGGCCCAAGCTCTCTCTTAGCTTCGTCGAAGCTCTGGCACAAACTGCCCCTCCAAATCCCTGAGCCTCCACTGATCTGTACTGTACGCCTAACTTGAACCTCGCAGGAAGTATCAGCCAATCCATCCGTCTAATTCCTTCCTTCCAAAGCGCCCGTCCCTCCCACTCTGCTAACTCCCAAATCTCCCCACCACACGCAAAGCAACGCAGAGGCACACACACACATACCCACCACACACCACACACACAACTTACACCACTACACACCACACACCACTCAACCACACACTCAATCGCGCTCCATCACTCGTTTTCTTTCCTCCCACTTACACCTAACCCCTTCGAAAAAATCCAACCACCGTCGATTCTCTTTGCTTGCTTGCTTGATTGCCTTCGATCCCAGCCTCGAAGAGTCAACGGTAGTTCGACGGTTGGAATATCCCCTTTCCTTTCCGCTCCTAAAATCAGTCATGTCCAACCCGTCGCCGCCCACTACAGTCTCCGGGAACAATGCTGGCAACGATGACTCCGGTATGGCTTACTCCCCCTCCTTCTCCTTCTCCTCTTGCTGCTCTTCCAAGACAGCCCTCTGTATTACCCCTCCATATATCATTTCCATATTCCAATTCTAGATTCTCTTTTTTCTAGGTAGCTTTCTGATGGGAAATCGCTCGCAACGGTCGAGATGAATTTATTCAATTAATCGACCTATGCTACATATTCTATCCTGTATCCTGTATCTTGTATCCTATATCCTATATTTTGCATCTTCAAACCACGAAATGTGACGAATTAACTTAAAATGACTGACCTTGACCGCGCGCAAAGCCTCGTCCATTACGGTGAACACCACCGCCGCCGCTACCGCCGCCCCTGTTCCCGCACCTTTTCCTCCGCCCAAAACGGATAAACCTCGTCCTCACGTCTGTGCCACTTGTCAACGCTCATTCGCCCGTTTGGAACACCTGAAACGTCACGAACGCTCTCATACAAAGGAAAAACCGTTCGAATGTCCGGAATGCACAAGATGCTTTGCTCGGCGGGATCTGCTCCTGCGGCATCAGCAGAAGCTCCACCAGACGACAACTCCCTCGTCGCGCCCAAGGAACCGTCGCGAAAGCACTAGCAGCACTGCTACCGCCCAGAGCCGAGCTCGGAAGAATAGCGTTGCTAGTGCCGCGAATGCCTCGGCCGCTGGTAATGCCTCGATGAGGCCCCGTGCGAATACCATCAGTCATGTCGATGGGAATCATATGCACATGATTGCCGCAGCCAACGCCCAAGTGGCGAGAAACCAGCAGCATCATATGCCTCCCACCCATACCCATAGTCGTCACCCGAGCCTTGCCGGGCTGCCACTACACAACCCGGACCACGGCTTTGCTGGCATGTCTTCGGTTATGGGCCACAGGGGCATGAGTCACGGACTCCCTAAGCTGGAAACTCACAGCATCAACAACATGGACTTCAATGCTGGTCTGCGCACCGCTCCTCCGTTGCCGTTCCAGCCGGAGTATGATTTTGAGGGTTTGTTATTCGGCCAGCCGGGTTCTACCATCAATCCGAACGCTTTGCACTACACCGAATCCCCCCACTCTATGTCCCTTGATCCCACCTCCCCCTTTGGCAATGGAATGGCAGACATGAGCACTCCTAACCAGCACATGGATGACAGCTTCGACTGGCTAACAGGATTCGAGCATCAAATGTCGTTCAATAACCCAACCGAAAACGCCGTCGACGGCTCCTCTCCGTCCGCGATGAGTACCACTAGTCAGAGCGGAATCAGTGATGTGATGCTTGATGGTTCCAACCCTACCACGGTGACCAACGCATCAAGCTCCATGTGGCAGCCGGCTATGATGGGCCCTCCGCAGCTCACGAACCCCTTTTCCATGGAAATGGGTGGGACGGTTTTCCCGGATCTTTTAAACGGAGCCCCTGTTTCGCCTCAGCCGTCCTCTCAGAAGAACATGAATGACATCTATTTCTCGACACCGCCCCCCTCCATGAGCTCCCTCAGCCCTTCTGTTATGCCGGGCCTAACTACACACAACATGAACCAAACTCTTCACTACGGTCCCAGCCCAGAAACACCGACCTCAATTAATGGTAGTCACCAATCACACTCCCCCGTCTCGACTATCACGGACACCACCCGGGGCGCCATCATAAGTGCTCTATCTCAATGTGCGCCGTTTAGTGGTCGTAAATTTTCTTTCACGTCACCCAACTCACCCATGTCCCCACAGTTCCCTACGACCCCCGACAGCACGCCTGACAATGTCAAAAACCTACCAAGTACTCAAGATTTACAACGATATGTCGCCAGCTATTTCCGCTTTTTCCATCCCCATCTCCCTTTTCTACATATTCCAACACTCTCATTTGACACCCCGTCCAATTCGAACAATGCACGATCGAATACCGTAGGTGGAAGTGGATGCCTTGTTTTATCCATGGCTGCTATTGGTGCTCTTTACGAGATGGAGCGAACCCAGTCGAGGGAACTATTCGAGATGGCCAAGAAGATGATCCAGCTGTATCTGGAAGAGCGAAGGAAGGCTGATATGCGGAAAGCCGATTTCCGTAGAACTCCGTCATCTGACCAAGGATCGCAAGGACCAGAGTGTTCTATTCACACTCCGCTGTGGCTTGTACAGGCGATGCTTCTCAACGTAGTGTACGGCCACAACTGCGGTGACCGAATTGCTAGCGATATTGCCTCGACTCACTCCGCGGCCCTTGTGAGTCTCGCTCAAGCCGCCGGCTTGCTCCGACCGATGAAGATGGACCCGACCGAAGTTCGAGAAATTCAGATGAACGATGCTGAGGGTAATTGGAATGGAGGAATTAAGGCGGAAACCGAAGAACAGGCTGAGTGGCTGCGATGGACGATGATGGAAGAGCGAAAGCGTACCCTCTATGTCATCTTCATTCTGTCAAGCCTCTTGGTGACTGCGTACAACCATACACCGGCTTTGACGAATTCCGAAATCGTTTTAGATCTGCCCTGTGACGAGGAGTTCTTTGCGGCGGAGAGTGCAGCAGCTTTCCAGTTGAAGGGTGGTGTGCGAGCTGCCGGACATAACCGGATGACGTTTCATGAAGCCTTAGGGGAGCTACTTCGTACTAACGAGAAGCAGCAGAAACTGGCATTCAGCAACGGACAGCATCAACTAGGCCCCAACGTGCAAATGAACGATATCCCACATAGCGAGTTAAAGCCCAGCACTCTGGGTTGTTTAGTGTTAATTAATGCGCTTCACAACTACATATGGGAAACGCGGCAACGTCACCATAACAAGGTGTGGACAAACGAGGAGACGGAGAAGATGCATCGCCACATCGAGCCTGCCTTGAAAGCGTGGCAATCGGCCTGGGCAAGCAACCCACACCACAGTTTAGAACGCCCGAACCCATTTGGCATGGGCCCTCTATCTGCCGATGCCATTCCCCTCCTGGATTTGGCATACATCCGACTATTTGTAAACATGTCTCGAACCAAAGAAAAGTTTTGGCAGCGAGACTGGGATGGGTTAGCCGATGAACTTTCTCGTGGCACCGAAGTCATTCAACATGCGGAGCATTCTCCTGCCTCAAACGCCGAATCGACAGATCCATCCGACGCCTCCGCCTCCAGTTCCGTTTTTGTCGACTCTCCCCCGACACAGTCATCGTCTCCTGAATTCTCTGCTGTCAAGTATTCCTCACAGCCATCATTCCAAACACAAAGCTCTGGTAGCCGGGCCATAACTCGCCGAGAGAAGCACCTTCGCAAGGCGGCGTTCTATGCTGCGGACTCGCTCTCCATGTCTGATAAGCTAGGTGTCACCTTTGCTGAATTCACAAGTCGAGAACTTCCAGTACAATCTGCAATGTGCTCTTTCGACTGTGCACAGGTCCTCGCTGAATGGATCGCCACTCTTCAGGACCGTGTTGGACGATACTTGGGTGTCCTAGGCAAGGATGAAGTCGACATGGGAGGTGTCCCATCTATCATGCTTCTCGAGGATGAGGACGTCAAACTCATTCACAAAATCCAAGAACTCCTCTCTAGTGCCGAGATGAAGATGAACATGGACATCGTGAGTGGTCACGTCAACGGTAGCATTGATTCTCGTCTCCAGATGGATAGCCACGGCGGTTATGCCGCCAAGATTCTCAGGGTCACGGCATACATGCTTGATAAGTCGGCGGTATGGCCAGGTACGTTACCAGTGTCAGGTCGTCAAACTTGAACTAATATTTACTAACAAATCGTGCAGTGCTCCACCTCATGGCTCGTTGCCTTGAAAGTCACGCGAATTTCATGGCATCCCGAGCCGACAAGTCCGTTATTGCTAGCGAGTAAGCGGAGATTCTAGGCTTAATTTATCTGCGATTTTTGGCGCATAAACCCACCCCCCAACGCCAATCCACCACGACGGAGTCCTAGTTATATCGCTGACGAATACGAGTGCCCATTTATCCCTTTCCATACATCGCTTATGCTGAATTTCGAAGCTCTGAACGACACTAGATACTTGCAGGATCTGATCTAACAATCAGAACGCTATTCCACGGACTAACCTAACACATCTTCACCCCTCCTTCGTACACACACGTTGTTCTGAAGGGTTACTGGGCTTCCCGGTGCACCGGTGCAACCCTTGCCTCGATTAGAGATTCTAATGTAAAAGGATGCTTAAAATCATGGAAAATATGGATGAGATGAGGTGTCCGGATTGAGGCCTCGTCACCGGCTAGGGAGACGCTACTGTTTTGCTATTGCTTTTGCTTCTAAGTACATGATAGATTTGCAGGCGCCACGCGATTACGGAATGATGCATGATGAATACCCTGGAGGGAATGTCGAGCCCTAACCACGAGTCAAAAGAAAGCACGTTGTCAATGAGGTGCGAATAAGGAAACGGAGCGCAATTTATTAGGAACGGGAAGAAAAATAAAACACAGATATAGGCGGCTTGAGATTAGACATCTAACCCTCAGGGTGTTTATAGTCGTCATTGGCTCCATCTAAAAGTTCTAACAAATAGGTACTTGGGCTGCGCAGATACCCGCAAAGTGAAGAGATCTGCGAATGGGCAAGCCGCGTGAGAGTTTCAAAGACACTACGCTTTTATATGCTATTTACTTACACACCCGGCGTAGGTGTTGAAGGATGGGGAGTTGGAGGCGCGTTCAACTTGGGCGCTGGTAATTGCAATGGTCCATCGGGGTTACAAAGAGAGAAAGAGGTATTACTTTAAGCTGAAATGTTGCATCGACGGTTCCAGCATGGACAAGTGGCAATAGGTCTTCCATGTACAAAGATAGATATGTAGGGAGGAGCGAAAAGTATATGTTTATATTGGGCTTTGATTATCTTCCATAGTCTTGTATGTTGCCCGAATAACTATACCTAAGTAAATACGAATAGTTATATGTAGGCTCAAATATTCATAGAAACATCCATGAATCTATTGGTTTCTGTCTACCTACCTAGGTACCTAATTTATATAGTTCCTATTGGCTTTGGTTTACTTTCGTTACACCTTAGATGACTCGATGCGGATCTATACGTGCCAGGCATTCTGTGTAGGGAGCTTGATTTGAATCGTAAACTATGGAAATAGATTACCATCCTACGTACGCATAAATAATATAGAAGTCATCGTACACTATACATTACATAACTATCTGGTGCTCCAAGGCTCCATAGAGAATGAACCAATTAGAATTAACTATGCTGTCTTGAGATTTCCTTACTAGGCAGGTAGGAACTCGGTGGAGTTGGTGGGGGCGGATTTAGTCTGCTGCTGTTAGTATTGACTTAACCTAGGGTATGTTGCATAATTTGTATAATTCTTCTGGAGTGGGATGAGAGTCTCTGAGGGGTAATCTACCTAGGTTAGGTTGACATTGACGTTAAGTGTTAAATGATTCAAGATTGGAAGATATATGCATTCGAATTGATACGAGACTAAGAGATGAAAATTACAACCGTGCCTGTTTGCCCATCTACTCCGTACTCCATATAGAGAAGAAACCCAGTGAAAATACAGTTGGTACAATACAGATAACAGATACATATAGCGATACATCAATCATCCCCCTTTATAGCGTTCTCGCTCACCAAGGTACTCTTCTCCGCGATCTTGTAACCTAAAAGCTGAAGCGAAGAAGCTTGCAAAATCTCAAAGACAGGAACATCAGCCTTGACTTCTCGGAGCAGCCAATTCCTCACCTCCACGGCCACAAGCGAATCTACACCATACACTGAAGTGGGGGCAGAGGCGTCGATATCTTCCAAGGCAATCATCAACGACTTGGACAGCTTCTTCATCAGCGCATCGAGGATGATAGCCGCGGCGGCCGAGACCGACACCGTCTCCTTGATCTGCTGCGCCAGCGATGGCCCGGAGCTAGAGCCGGTGTCGACGTGGCGCGCCCGCATGTTGTGCAGGTGCGAGAACACGGGGTCGCGGAACCAGTGGGGCACATCGCCCTGGCTGCGGTCGAAGTCGGCCTGCGTGCCAACACCGGTCACGATCTGGCATCTGCGCTGCTGCTGCTCCTCGTCGCCGCTTTCCATCGCGATGTCGACCATGGTCAGGAACTCTTCTTCCTCGATCTGCAGGAATCCCCAGCGCGCGAGGTTGCGCTCGGCCGCGCCTTCGTTCTCCGCCACGTAGCCGACGGACTTGACCATGCCGAGGTCGATGACGGTGGCGGGCAGGCCGCGGGAGACGCGGTAGCGGGCTAGCGAGTCTTGGAAGGCGTTGGCCGCGGCGTAGTTGCCCTGGGACGTATCGCCGACCATGCCGGCGGCGCTGGCGAGCATGATGAAGAAGTCGAGGGGCTGGTTCATCGTCGCCTCGTGCAGGTTCCAGGACCCTTGCACCTTGGGCTGGATGACCTTGGTGAATGTCTGGTGGGACATGTTGAGGAAGATGCGGTCCTCGAGCACCATGGCCGCTTGGATGACGCCGCGGACCGGTGGCATTTTCTTCAATGTGTTCGTTAAGCTCGTCTTGAGCACTTCGCTTTTGGTGATGTCGAGGGCCAGAACCTCTACGGTAACGCCGACGGTTCGAAGTTCTTCAACTAATGATTTCGCCTCTGTGTTGGAGGCCCCGGACCGAGACACGAATATCAGATTCTTGGCTCCTTGCTTTACCATGCGACGAGAGAGACTGCGTCCGAGGCCACCGAAGCCTCCAACGATCATGTAAGTGGCATTGGGAACGATTCTGTATTTGGAACCTTCCCTTGGTGCGACCTGTGTATCCACGTTAGTTATGTATAATATAGAAAGTAGAATGAAAGCGTGACCTACCGGCACCATGTCATTTTCATTGGGGATAAGCACAATCTTCCCCATGTGCTTTCCAGCCTGCATATATCTAAAAGCTTCCTCAATCTTGGAGAATGGGAATTTGGTAATGGGAGAGACTTGGCCGATACTTCCATCCCGAAGCAGGTCCATTACCTCGGACAGGAGTCGCGCTCCGAGAGCCTTCCGCTGCCGGAAAATGACAGTCAAGTCGACGGACGCAAGGGTGACATTCTTGATGAAGGGGGCCATTCCGAGGCGCGTGTTATCTTCGATATCTTTCTTACCAATCTCGATAAAGCGTCCGAAAGGCGCGATCACTGACCAACTAGCCTTCAAGGCTTCTCCGGAGAGACAGTTGAGCACGATATCCACGCCCTTACCTTGTGTGAGTCTCTTGATTCCATCGGCGAAGGTCAGATTGCGGCTGGAGAAGATATGGTCCTCTGGTATGCCATAGGTCTTCATCATATGCTCCTTCTTTTCCTTGGTGCCTACCGTGATGAAAACCTCGGCGCCGTACAGCTGGCAAAGCATGACGGCGGCTTGTCCGACACCACCGGCAGCAGCGTGGATCAGGACTTTCTCGTCCTTCTGGATTCTGGCCTGGTCTACTAATCCATAATACGCAGTGCAGTAAACTATGGGCAAAGATGCTGCGACAGAGAAGTCCATATCGTCTGGGATCGGCTGAACCAGCTTGGCCGGGTTCTTAAGGGAGTTGCAGTACGCGCCAAGCGTCCAAGTGCACACTCTGTCGCCGACCTTGAGATTCGACACTTCAGTACCAACTTCTGTCACGACACCGCTGCATTCACAGCCCAAGAAGTCATCAACGAGCTGGCCCATGCAGATCATGATGTCGCGGAAATTCAACCCGACTGCACGAACATCAATCTTGACATGGTCAGCTGGCAGAGGGGCCAGAGCCTCTACATCATCGACGAAGCATAGAGTATCTAGAAGACCCGGTGTGGAGATGGCCAAGGTAAGTGGTCGTCCTTCTTGACCGAAAGGTTCGAGATCCCGAGTCGAAGTGGTTGGCTGGCCCACTGCGGCGATTCTATTGTTCAGGTCAGACGCGGCGATACAGCGCTTGATGTGCACAACGCCGTCCCGCTCGGAGTATTCGCAATCTCCCAAGGTTTCTTCGGTGTATGTTCGCTCTAACACCGGGACAAATCGGTCGAGACGCTGCTCCCAAGAGAGGGGGTGCTCGGTGGAGAAGTCGAAGGTGACGAGGGGGAAGCCTTCGTGTTCCGCGCGGAGAGTCCTCGCGAGACCGTGGATCAAGGCCAACTCGGGGTGGGTTGAGTCTTGACAGGCGCCTTGAGTCAGCCAGAACAGGCCCTTGGCGTGGTGTAAAATGGCTTTCAGCGTTTCTAGCTCTTGCGGAGTCAGGTCTTTTAGGACAGGGCGTCTAATTTCTGCGACTGAAATGACTAGCTTGCCGACGATGTCTAATTCCGTTAGCTGAGCATACGGCTTGATCGTAACCGAAACATTGCCGCGGTGAAGCCTCTTTCGCAAGGTATGGGCAACGGTCTGGTCCTCACCCAGCCCGTCCAAAGTGGCAATGACGACAGATGGTAGAATGTCATCCATGCCCTTCTCCTGATAATTTGGCTCGATGGCTTCGGCGACCATCAGGCGTCCAGTCTGGTCTCTTGGGTTCTGATGATCGGATGTGCTGGACTTCAAGTCTCCAAATCCGTTATTCTTGAGGATGGATACCCAGGTCTTCTCATCCATCGTGGGTCCCCATTGTCTGAATGGCTCCTCGGACATCCACCAACCGGGAAGATTGCCAAAGGGAAGGAAGACTCGGTTGAGTACGTGGGTGATTTCTAGGAGAAGTAGCTTTCCGCCGGGCTTGAGTAGTTTCCTCACGTTGGAGATGGTGCGGTCCATGTTGGTTGTCGCGTGAAGAACGTTGAATGCGATGATGACATCGAACTTTTCGTCGTCTCCGAACCCTTGAGGTTCGAGATCTTGCTCAATGTTCAGCTTGCGGTAGTCGATGAGTCCACTCCATTCACTGAATTTGACCTCGGCCTTTTCGAAGAAGCCAGACGAGATATCGGTGTAGGTGTAGTTGCTGAACCGAGGATATGTGCCATTTCCGCCTCCTAGAGCCTTGAGGATTGGTACGGTCGCACCTCCTGTGCCTGCGCCTATCTCGAGATACTTGAGACTCGGTGTCTTGTGTGAAAGCATGGCGATGTACTTCTGGAGATGGGCGTACGAGGTGGCGATGCCTAATGAGTTTGCATAGTAATTATACAGCAGCTCGTTCTCCAGCATCAGCGCCAGAGGGTCTACCTCGTTCTTCAAGATGCGTGCTAGGTTCCTTCCCATGCGGCACAAAAGCTGACCTTCGTAGTCGGTCGCCTCGATCTTGGCAATGAGCTTTTCCATCTTGTTTTGCACAACAGGCGAGTCGAATTGCAACCACTTGGGAGTTTGGTGCTCGATGGTGCCAGCCAATACTTGTTCGCGATGGTGCTGCATGTACCGGAAGTACTTCTGGTGGTGCGGATGGACTACTTGATCCTCCCTGACTTCTTGCAAGGCTCGTGTGTAGAAATACGATGCCACCATCTCCAGCGTTGCAATGTACTCCGAGGGAGTATCCTGGACACCAGTAGCTGTCAAAATAGCCTCGGCTTCTGGCTTTGACAAGAGATCAAGATCGGGCAGCCACTCGACGTCGAAGCAGAGCTGTTTGACTTCTTCCGGGTTATGGCTTTCATCTGCAGAGCTGCTGGAGGTCAACGCCGTGCACTTGACACCTTGAATTCTGACTTTGGGCATTTCTCCTTGACGATCTCGGACCATGATGCTGGCGGCAGCTTCACGGAATCCAACAAATGCGGCCTCCGAAATCATCTCAAACTGGTGTCCGGGGTCACTGGCAATATCGCTGGCCACATGCATTTCCTGTATGAAAGTAGGCATGTAGGGCTCCTTGACATTCGCCGCAGCATGGGTTAAAGCTGGGAATAGGATCTGCAAGAAGGTGTCCAAGGTAGCTGGGTGAACAAGGTGATCGTACTCATACTCGCAAGGCATGATGGACTTGGTGTCGGGTATCTCTAGCCTTCCCGAAGCCTTTCCAGGTCCGTAGGATATTTCCTTTAAGTTGCGGAAAGTCGAGCCATAGTCGAGACCTGCTTTCGAGAGATCCTCGTAGACCTTGTCGGGTGTAGCTGTAGTTTTACAGAAGCTTCTCGAGCTCTCGAACTCACGGTCAATGCGCGCTAAGGTCTCCTTTGACTCCCTGTTGCCATCAACCTCGCTACTAGGCTGGGTGTAGTTGATAGACAAAAGACCGCGACAATGTTCATTTGGCCCGGTGGATGAGTACGAGAAAATTCGGAATTCTTTCCAGATATCTGAAGATGACTTGCTGCTATTGTTGAATGGCCTGGCTTGGAAAATCACTTCTGCGCCAAGTTCAGTCTGAGGTACGACCAGTGCCCTAGTGATGAGCATCTCTGTGATGGTATAGCCAGTAACTCTCCCACTGTCTGAAGCAGGGACCATCTGTCTCGCAGCCTCCAACGCCATGGATATGTATCCTGCAGCTGGGTAGATGATCGATCCCTGAACTTGGTGATCTCTGACCCAGGGCTGCTCAGACACTCGAATGAAGTTTCGCCATCGGGGCTCAGCGGGATTCCAATCAGCGACGGGTGCGCCAATGAAATCGTTCCGGGGCGTAGGACGGAAACGGTAGTTGGAGCTCAAACGCGATTCTGCCCAGAATTGCTTGCTGTGGTTCCATGGGTAGGAAGGTAGGTCTACCAAGACCTGGGGACGAGGCCCAGTCTGTACCGGTCTGTTGGCTCTTTCGAGTTTCGCAGGCACACCACGGGCCCAAAGAGCTGCTGTGGCTTCTAGAGTCGTCATGCACGCATCTTTGTCTCGAACCAAAGCAGAGTGATAGGCGATGGTCTTTTTCTGCAGGTCCTCAGTAGCGAGTATCTGCTTAATGGGACCAGCAAGGGCAGAGTGTGGTCCAACTTCAAGGAGAACACTGACGGAGTCTGAGCCGCCGAGCTTCTTCGATCTACTCTTGCTGCTTGACTTTTGACTGCAGAGAAGTTGAAGACCTTCCGAGAATCGAACAGGCGAAAGCATGTTGTCTACCCAATATTTCGCATTGAGCTCTTTGCCTGTCACCGAGGTGCAAGTGACCGTGGAGATCATTTCGCAAGAGAAGCGCGAGGTGTCTCGGGGAGCCTCAAGGTCTGTAAGGCATTGCAGATATTCTCTGGCGACTTCGAGCATATGGTGGGAATGATAGGCGGTTTTTACCTGGAGTTGCCTGGCAAAGATCTTCGCTTCTTGAAGGACCCGTTCCATGACCTCGATGGCGACAACATCACCTGATAGGGTCACGTTGGACGGACTGTTGATACAGGCCACCACAATCTTGCCTAGCGAGGGTTCCAGACGGACGATATGCTCTTCAGCAGCTTCCTGAGAAAGACCACAGGCCAGCATAGCTCCATGCCGTGTTACTCTGTTTGAGACCAGCCCTCTGAAGAAAGCGACCTTCAACGCCGAGTGGAATGTGAGCTTGCCAGCTGCATATGCCGCAGCTATTTCACCACTTGAGTGGCCAATCACCTTCTGAGGTAGTACTCCCCAGTCTGCTAACAGATCAACCAGTGCCAGTTGAACTGCTGTACATACAGGTTGGCTGAGCTCGGGGTCGTTGATGCGAGAGTCGCTCTTATCCTTGGCGATCTCTTCCATCAAGGACCAGGTGCATCCAAGAGACTTCAGGACTTCATCGGCAAAAAGCATCGACTTCTTGTAAACGGGGTACATGTTCAGGAGCTCTCGCCCCATGCCCCACCATTGCGCACCCTGCCCAGTGAAGACAAAGGCGACACAAGGAGCTTGACGAGTCTATAGGAATGATAAGTTAGCGGAGGAACATATGTTTTCGTCACATCATCTAAAGGGGTAAAGCCTTACGTTTGAGCGGATCGGCTTCTGGCGCGTATTCTCGAGCTTGGTGGTAAGATCGTCCAGAGAGTTCGCAACGATGAAGAATTTCAAGGCCATTCGAGAACGTCTCTGGCACAGAGTGTAGGAAAGATCAGCAAGGAACCGATTTTCGACAACGTCTTTTCGGTTCTTTAGCTCTGCGGCATATGCTGCGGCACTGTCTTTGGCAATACCCTCTTCATGGGTAGACCAGGCGAAGATCCGGTACTGATGTCGATTAGTGCCATTGTCGAAAAGGTCATCACTTTCTGCGGACGCATATCCTGAGCTTCCCAGAGATTCGACTTCGGCATGGTGATCTAGTAGATGAGGCGAAGTGACTGTGCAATGAGCTGCCTTCAGAGCCCTAGCCTTGAGGTAATGGTAGGCATCATCGATAATGACGTGGGCATTCGTTCCACCGAAGCCAAAAGAATTGATGCTGGCCCTTCGGATGCCAGGCATTGGCCAAGGTGTCAACTCGGTAGGCACGCGAATATGCCAGCCCTCGAAGTCGATAGCCTCATTCCCGTTTTCGAAGTAGAGGTTGGGCGGGATCAAACCTTTCTCTAAGGCTAGAACGGTCTTGATAACACCCGCCAGTCCACTTGCGCCTTCGAGATGGCCGATGTTGGTCTTGACGCTTCCCACATATAAGCGGTTAGCGTCTCCTGAGCGTCGGTGGCGGCCGAGTGCCGCCCCAATGGCGCCCGCCTCAAGAGGATCACCCGCAGGTGTGCCAGTACCGTGAGCTTCAAAGTAACCAACAGATGCTGGGTCGCACCGGGCACTCTCATAGGCAGATCTGATAAGACTCTCTTGTGCCTCTCTCGACGGCAGCATGATGCCTGCCGTTCGTCCATCCTGTTTGTCCAACGGTTAGCCCTAGATATAGAAGATGTTCTTTAAACGGTGAAAGAAAAAAGGGGGTGGGGCTTGGCGTAGTCGTCACTTTAAATAACACTTGCCTGGTTACACGCAGTTCCCCGGATGACTGCACGAATGGTATCATTATCCCTAATCGCATCTTCCAGAGGCTTGATGAATATTGCGGCAATCCCTTCTCCACGTGAATATCCATTTGCTCTGGAGTCGTAGGTATGGCATTTAGCATCAGCCCCTAGGAAGTGAACGTTGGACATGGCGATCATGACATCTGGATTAAATATTAGGTTGGTGCCTCCAACGATAGCTGCCTTGCTCTCTCCGTTGCGAAGACTTTGGCATGCTAGATGGAGGGCGACGAGACTACTGCTGCAAGCAGTGTCGACAGTCAAGCTAGGGCCTTTGAGATCGAAGTAATAGCTAACACGGTTGGAGAGAATGGCAGCTCCGTTTCCGGTCGAGACGTAAACAGGGGAGGTCTCGGGGTCGTGTGTCAATATCTCGTTGTAGTCTCGGGAGAAGCAGCCGACGTAGCAACTAGTGTTGGATCCTGCTAAGTTCTCCATTGGGATACCGGCGTTTTCGACGGCTTCGTACGCGGATTCCATCATCATACGTTGCTGGGGATCCATTCCAGTAGCCTCGGCTGGTGATATGGAAAAGAAGGCCGCGTCGAAGGCTGAAATGTCTTCCTCCAAGAAATGGGCGGCTCGGATGTTGAACTAGGTGCCTTGGTGTTAGCGCTTACCTACTAGATACCTATAAGATTATTCATGTGCAACTTACTGTCCCATTTCTATCTGGGTCTGGGTGGTAGAAAGCATCGACGTTCATGCGACTCTTGGGAATCTCGCATCGTCCGGACTGCTTCTTGGCAACCATGTCCCAGAGCTTGCTCGGGCTTGAGGCACCACCTGGGAACTTACAGGCCATCCCGACGACAGCAATAGGGAGTAGGCCATCGTCGGCGATGGCGTTGAAGGTTTCGCCTCTTTGAGATGACATTGTGTTGATACAATGGAAGACCGAACAAACTATCGGAGGAATGTTAAAAAGGTGTAAGTAAAGAGTGTTATTTGGCTAAATCTTGAGCATGACTATAAAAGTACACTTCCAAAATTATAGATCACCGTCAAGAAGACCAGTCTTTATAGTTGTAAATTATTATACCAATTTTCTTTTGATATAATACATCAAGATTCTCACGTCGGCTTCCAACGCTTGACTCCTATCTGAGAAAGTAGGACTTCAACCCATTCTCGTACGTTCCACAGACCGTTAACGTATTCTTCTTTTCATCCTTCGAGGTCTAGGCTTGAGGCTTGATACAAAGGTATAGTTCTCTATAGGTACCTACAAGCTGTATCGTAGATAACTTGTTATTGTGATTTGGAATTCTCATTCTATGGTTGAGTCGAAGGATGACTGAGCCGTTCGCATTCGTCACGAAGCTGTATACTACTAGGTAGTATGCAGGTACCTAGTACCTACCTAGTACCTACCTACATGTAGTACCTACCTAATACCTTGAAGTTCAACGTTGAGTTGAAGTTGCTGAAGAACTTTGAACAGGGGTAATCAGGTGGATACCTAGTAGGATCCACCGCGTTTAAGCTCGTCAATTTAGCGTAAAGGAGAATCTTGGATAGATAGTAGCTGCCTACTATTATATTCTACATCGACGGGTAGCTACCTACCTACCTACCTAGGTTAGGGTTAGGTGTTATGGATATCAGGTAGTATTTGAGGCTGTCAGCACATGGCACCCCAGCTTCATCGAATATCGAAGTCTTACGGCTTACTACAGTTGCTTCTTTCATCCCCAAGCCACGTGCAATATGCAACCAACAAAGACTATGGACTCATGTACATATGTATGTCATATCACCTTACTGAATCCTGCATATATACCTACCTGCTGAGGTACATAGTACTAGGTACCTAGTATCATTTATGCAGTAGCTAGAGTACTCAGGTACATCGTACGTAAGAACCAACCAAAGCTTTCAACTCGAAGTTTATTATATTATATCCAGGGGTGCATCGTCCCACCATCTGTTGTGTAATAGCACTAGACGCCTACCTACCCGGTACCTAGGTACTACTAGGTATGTATTTGTTTAAAAATACCATCCTTCCCTTGCGACCAGCTCCTCCACCCCCTCATCACCTTTTTCCAGCTTTCCGGAATATTCCCAAGAAAGTCATTGACAGCTCAAAGGATTAGCTCATTTCGAACAGATACAACGCAATATGGCTCTCATATCGGATGGTAGCCGAGCTCACGAGACTGGCGTTGACACGGCTGTTCTCCTAGTGGTTGGAACTGGAGGATTTACCCATGCAGGTCAGGAAAAGCCCTATCTACCCCAGCTCACATCCAACTCTCTTTGACAGCTTCCCCCCAATATAGCTCCTGTCCTTGAATTGGGTCGAATCTTAGCCGCCCGCGGTCATCGCGTAGCTTTCGCAACCCACAAGGGACAGGAAAAATGGGTCAAGAACGCCTCGTATTCTTTCATATCGGATGTCTACACCATGGGCCCTCCTATGGATCCAGACATTGAGGCGGCACACTATCTCCAGATGCAAACTTCTGATATTAGAAAGGATTACAGAGACTACTTCCGCCCAAAGTTCAATGTGGATGCCTTCTGGGCCTCCGATTACTCCTTCCTAAAGGACATCTGCCAGGTTTTCAAGCCTGACATGATTGTAGCTGATTTCTTCCTCGACTCAGCTGTCAGGGATATCAAGCACCAGACTGGTATTCCTATCGCCACGGTCTGGCCTCAGATGCCGTACGCCATGGTTGGGGCATCCTATATCCCAGGACTTCCTGGCTTTCAGGTAGATGCACTAACTAGTGAACATGCTTCCTTGTGGACGAGGGTCCGTGCCGCATTACGTCCTCTGCGGGCCGTCTCGGCCGTTGTTCCATACCTCAAGTTCGTACGAGACATGCGCCGGAGGGCTGGACTCAACTACAGTCTGCCCATCTTGAAAAAGCCTGACTATCTTGTACTAGTCAATTCTTTTTTTGGACTGGAAACTCCTAAGGACCTACCCCCACTTGTCGCCCCTATTGGCCCCATCTTATCGGAAGAGTACCAAGCCCTTGATACCCCTCTCGAGGAATTCTATGCGGATCGTCACCGAGTGATTTACGTCTCGTTTGGAACGCATATTCAAGTGCCTTCTCGAGATCTTGAAAAGTTTGTTAGTGCCTTCGCAAACCTTCTTCACGAAGGGCTCATAGATGGTATCATATGGTCGGCAGATAACACACAACGTGCCATATTCAACCGCGATCAGGCAGTTCCCCATACCGATATCCTTGCGGGAGATCTCCTAGATGGCCTGAACCCTAGTTGGCTCTTCATGACTTTCGCACCTCAACGGGCTATCCTTGCACGCAAGGAAACCGTTTTGTTTGTGACTCACGGAGGAGGAAGTAGTGTAAACGAGGCTGTGTTTCACGAGACTCCCATGTTGAGCCTAGGATTCTTCTTTGACCAGCCGCTCAACGGATTGCGCATCCTAGAGGCAGGGGTGGGGCTGAAGCTGGATAAGGCTGGATTCACAGAGATGGAAATCCTAGAAAAGTCGCGCGTCTTGCTACAAGACAATAATGGGACGATTGGGCAGGACGTACAGCGCATGGCCCATATTGCTCGCGTATGCAGCCGAAAGAAGGAGTTTGGAGTAGACTTGATCGAAGAGGTGTTGTATGACCATCGCTTCAGCTTGATCCCACCTGGGGCCACAGCTAGCGAAAGTATGCACAGGCGACGCCCGATGCACCTGCAGACTGCAGATGCGAGGATGTCTGCCTGGCGGGTCCAGAACTGGGATCTCGCGTGTCTCGCAGTGACTTCGGCTGCAACGGTTGGATATGTCGGGTGGACGGTAGCAAAGATAATTCGCGCACGAGTTTAGGATATTTTCTGCCTGGGTATTACATTACGTACATCATTCCATAGCTCAATATTGCAACTATTACCTATTACCTATCTAGTAGCTGATTATACCGAGATAGTTGTTATACTATATGCGCCTGCACGGCGTTGGAACATCCCTAATTTCTTCGGAAAGTTTGTCAGCTTCCGGGAAGGATTAGTGTTAGCCCTACCTATGGCAAGCTCGCGGCGTGGCCCGTCCTCCATTATTGAGGGGATTCTTAACTCCGGCCCTGTCGAATCGAATGATTTTCTAGATCTTGGAAGGATTTGGGATGCATCAGTAGATGCAAAATACCAAATACCTAACTACTGCCTACCTAGGTAACTACCTAGTACTATAAATGAGTAGGGCTACGTAAGACGACCCAACCCTGACCCATAATCAGGTAACACCACTAAGATCCTAGTTCAGCCTTTTGAGATATGACCCACATTCCTATTCCAGTAATACTAATTTGAGATAGGCATCCCACGCAGGGGTATCCTGGGTACACTAGCTTTCCTGTGTAACTTCTCACCTAAGAAGTGGGACCACGAATAAGGTAATTAGGTAATAATTCATCTATAACTCAGCATTCGATCTTAGACAGACGCATTCCCAATTGGCATATTTGTGCCTTCTTCAATTTCTTGATAACTTCTTCTTTAGTGGGCTAGCAGATCCTAGAAAATCTACCAAGCCAAGAAGAAAAAAGAAAGAAAAAAGAAAAGAAAAAATTCATTACAATGAGGTTTCTTTGCTTACATGGTATGGGCACAAGCGCCGAGGTACGTTGAATAGACTGATCATAAAGTTGAGCTGTTGTTAACCACTTACACGCTTGGCAGATATTCGAAACTCAGACAGGTACTACAAAAACTTCAAATTTCATAACAACGTCTTGGAATTGCGCAGCTTCCATCTAGGACTCGCACGCTAATTAATTACCTTAGATCCCCTTCGGCGAGCGCTAGGCAAGAGCCACGATTTTGAATTCTACGAAGGTGACTATGAAGTCCAAGCCGCACCAGGTATATACCAACAACTATCTATACTCCATGTTATAGCAGTCTTGATCTAAACATTACCTCCTTAGGAATTGACGAGGTCTTCAACGCTGAAGTCTATAAGGCCTGGTACGACCCAGCCCTAGGAGCATCAACACACCGAAAAGCCCTGGAGCTTCTTTGGAACATCATAGAAGAGGACGGCCCGTTCGACGGCTGCATCGGCTTTTCCCAGGGCTCAGCCCTTCTCGCATCCCTACTACTCTCCCACCAAGCCCACAACCCCTTCTCCCTGCCCCCGTTCCGCCTCGCCATCTTCATATGCGGCAGCAGTGCCCTGAGCGTGTCCGAAGCAGACGGGAAATGGAGCCGCATCGACCCGCAGGAGCTCGAGCGCAAGAACCTGCGGATAAAGATCCCCACCGTCCACATCTTTGGGCTCAAGGACCCCGCGTACCAGGAGAGTCTGAACTTGAAGAATATGTGCGATCCAAGAAAAAGGTTGGAGTATGCGCATACGAGTGGGCATGATATCCCAAGAGCGATAGGGGTTACAAGGGATATGGCGAGGGTTGTGCAGAAGGGGATAGAGAGGGCTATGTGTGGGCATTAGAACCCCTTTTATGAGTTTGGGCTTGAATTGTAATATACTAGGTTACCTACCTACCTAGCCTAGTGTAGTCATATACCTGCATTCGCAACTATCTATAATTTAATCCAATTTGGAACGGTTAGGGACCACTTCGTAGTGTGAGTTTGAAAGTTTGAAACGAGAAGTTCAAGTTATTTCTAGAATGAGCAACGCCTATCAACTTATGAAGAAACGTTTGGTTAAGGTTATTTTCATCTTATGTTTAGCTACTCTAGTTTCTCTTCATCATCGGGGGTGCTATTCAGGTCTACAAAGGCTTAGTTTTGAAAACGACTAATAATTAACATAGTAATAAGATTATTTAAAGGTAGGAGGTATCATAGAGTAACTAACTAGAAGCAAGACAAAATGAAATATTACACGAAAGTACTATGATATAGAGGACATAATACAAAGGAGAAAACACTGTGCAAACATGAGTAGAACCTGGTATCCAATAGCCATCGATACTTCTTACACCTTCTACGCCGTCCTTGTGCCTCGATCATCACTACTCCCAACAAATAGCCCGAGAAACCTAAGGAGCCCGTTTCGGCAGTGACTCATGAACGGGTTAGTGCCCATGAACACGACATCATGGACCAACTTGCTCTTTTTCTGCATCTTGAATCCTTCCTGCAACATGCCAGACGTGTAGTCTTCCAGCACAGCTGGGAGCTGAGGGGTTGCATGGTAGGAATCCAACTTCTTGAGATGCTCGGCTAGGGATAGAGAATCGGCGATGGCGGATGTGGCGCCTTTCCCCAGATAGGGGGTCATGCTTCATCAAGTTGTCAGATTTAATACATGTAAAAGCTGTCAGCTTACTAGAGGGAAAGGACTCACCTGTGGGCGGCATCGCCTAGCAGGACAACGTTCCGGGATTTCCAGTGCTTCATTTTGTGCTGAGTCTTTACTTGAGCGACGTACACTGACTCGGGGATGGTCATCGAGATCAATGAGCGTAAGAGAGGGTGCCAATGCTTTGTCCTCGCTTGCCAATCGGCTTTTAGTTCTTCAGGGGTCATCTCATCGGGATGCTTCTTGTTGATGAATTCATCCGTGAAGCAGCCTAGCCCGCACATAAGATACGATCCCTCTGGATCGAGAGTCTCGATGCTGTATGGTCCATGCGGGGTTGCTTTATCCTTGTAGTAAGATACAACCATCGAGCTACGCGGGCCCATGACCTGGAAAGTAAGTGTAAGCTGGGAGTCCTGAGGTTACATAATTCGTAATAGCAATACAGCATGTTAGATGGGAAGACTCACCAGACAACCTGAACCGAATGGCATCATTAGTTCAGTCTCGGGTGTAAGAGGCATCTTGAAGTACAAGACGGTGATGCCTAGAGTATCTCTCTTCGAAGTAGGAATAAGCTGCTTTCTAATCCTGCTGCCAGCCCCATCCGCACCCACGAGAATGTCGCATTCCGCGGTAGTTCCATCAGTGAAGTGAATTCTCACACCATCGTTCTCCAACGTTTCGTAGGACTCAAACTCAGTCTTCCAGCGCACTACCTCATCCAGACCTTCGAGCAGAGCGGTCCTCAGCTTCCATCGCGAGACACAACTTGCATCTCGGAAGTCTGGAGGGGTCATGCCGATCTTCACCCGACACTTGTGATCCAGCAGCGCAATGTGCTGCCCCTGAGGCGGCTGGATCCCCACAGCTTTCTCCAGCAACTTGGTTACGTCGGCTGGGAGTTGGCTTCGCAGTGCGGCAAGCATCTCCTTGGAGAGCAGAATGCGGAAACCGGTCAAAGAACTGGCTTCCTCATTTCTGCCCCCTCGCTCATAGACGGTGACGGAGAACTTGGGGTCTCCTCGCAGGAGCTGGGTCAAAACGAGACCCCCGATTCCAGCACCGACTATTGCTACGCGGAGAGGCTTGGGCTTCTCTGCTGCGATGGTGCTGTGATTTGAGGTCATGATTATTTTAGGTATTCAGGGGGTTTAGTTTAAGAGAGATGTGGGTTTCAATAGATGGATGAATGTGTGCGTTAACATCTGCGATGGCAATTCTGCCACTTCGTGCTCATGTACAAATTGTTAGATAATATATCCATCTACCACTTACATGAATCCTTTTTCGTCGTACGTTTGTCGTAGCCATTAACTATAATAGGCATCACACGAATCGCCGTTTTCATCTGATATGTTAACGGAGAATCATCTACAATGTATGTACAAGCCATGCATCATGTACCTGGTACCTAGATAGACATGGTCTACGGCTGATGGCTGACGGCTGATAAGTTAGGCGATATCCACGTGCGGCGCAGGATCGTGGATCTGATGTTACCTAAATCCTACCAAGGGAGTTATGGGCTGGGCATCGTTCGATGGCACTAAGCCTTCTGTCCTACCCTAATAAACTTGGATTGTGATCCCTGGACCGATGGATCTTTCAAATATCTTTGTTACCTAGTATGTATGTAGGTAGGTATATTGTATATGCGCGATTCCGAATGCTGCATACCACGTCTACCTAGTACCAGAACATGAACGCGGCATAGGTACTAGTCGGAAGGATGAAGAATATTCCTATTGGAAGTTGACATGCTCGGTTTCTATTCCCTCTCTTGAAACTATCTGGCGAGATAGTCTAACTGCACTGCATGCGCCATACGCGTAGCTACCTATCCACTTCAAGTTCCTATTCTACCCGTAGTTTCTCCAAAGACTCCTCTTGGTTCTCTGTTATAGACCAAAGTCGTTGCTTGTACAAGCAGAGCTGATTATCTTTTTCTCTTCTGCTTAGAGATCAGTTACTCTAGATTAGACTTCCATCATGGACAAATCTGAGGCCAAAATGGCTTCTGCTACACCTCACTCAGACGACAGTGCCATGGTCCCTACGGATCCACCGGAAACTCCAGAGGTTCTTAGCAATGTTCAGTTAAGCCTTGTTATTTTAGGGTCAGTCTATGTCACTTTCATTATCTACTATACATCCGAGTCCTTTTATACTAACACAAGATCACATAACACAAGACTCTGGCTCTCACTCTTCTTATGTTCCCTTGAAACGACAATTGTCAGCACTTCTCTTATACACATAGCAAATGACCTTCAAGATTTGAGCAACGCTGGCTGGATTGTTGTTGCATATCTTCTAACATTCAATGGTAATGTTGTCATCCAACTAATACGCAAAAGCTTGGGCTAACAACTGATATCTCTTTCTCTCTATAGCTTTCATACTCATATGGTCCAAACTGAGCGACACATTTGGTACCAAATGGCTTCTCCTGACCGCCAACGTCATCTTTTGCATATTTTCCATCGCCTGTGCTGTCTCTAAGACGATGGTTCAGTTGTAAGCTTTATGTCCTTGTCCCCTCATAAAGAATCAACCATACTAAGACCATCGATCTCTTAGGATCATCTTCAGAGCGTTTCAGGGAGTAGGCGGTTCGGGCATGTATTCCCTCACGTTTGTCATTCTAGCGCAGGTAGTGCCGATGGACAAGCTTGGAATATGTACAGGTATCCTCAGTTCCGTCTTTGCACTGGCCAGCTTGCTTGGTCCCATTCTTGGGGGTGTGATATCCGACCGAAGCACATGGCGTGTAAGTCTCTTCGAACCCAGTCACTTTAGTTCCAGATATATTCAGGGGCTCTGCTAACATCTCGTGTCTTGAAAGTGGATATTCTGGCTCAAGTAAGTCCTACATACTCCTGGGACGCTCAAGTGCTTGTTAGTTAAACCCACGGCTAACCTTCTTGATCAGTGTCCCGGGAATCGCCGTCGCATTTACCATCATTGCCAGATTCATGAGAGGAGGAAAGTCTGGCCAGCAAGTCCTAAAGTCGATGAAGACCATGGACATTATTGGTGCTTTTCTGTCCCTCGCTTGGGCCATCCTTCTCATCTTCGCGCTTCAAGAAGGAGGGAAAGAGTATGACTGGAATAGTGGTGTTATTATCGGGACCTTAGTCAGCGGCGTTTTCATGCTCATTGTGTTTGGAACGTGGGAGTGGTGGGTCTATCGCCACTCTAGCACCGACGGCTTGTTTCCCGTTGGTCTCCTAAAGAGATCGGTAGTTATCTTGTTGTTTGTGTAAGTTTGGCCATTCCTTTTTCTTTTTTTCTTCTCTTTCAATGGCATAGGCTGATATACCCCTTTCTTTGAACAGGAACCTTCTCTTACTTGGCTTCACCTTCTACGTCCCGGTCATTCAGATCCCACAGCGGTTCCAATACGTGAACGGTCAAACAGCAACGAGGGCTGGTATTCTCCTTCTTCCCCTGACGCTAGTATCCCCTACAACTGCACTAGTTGCTGGCTCACTGGTTGGGAAGAACCGCTACTGGGCACCAGGTTTGACCATTCTGGGAGGCTGTTTGAATCTTATTGGAATCACCCTGATGAGTACCCTCCCAGTCGACAGTGACGTTCCAGGAGCTCAATTTGGCTATCAAGTGATAATTGGCATGAGTCTCGGCCTCATGACACCCACCCTTCTATATCTGCTAAAGGTAGAGGTGCCCGAGAAAGATATGGCTGGTGCCATGGGTGTTGGTAACATGGGTCGAACTCTAGGGGGCTGCATCGGGTTGGCGATATGCGGGTCATTGTTACAATCCGAACTGAACAAAGAGCTTCCGAAATTTCTGAGTCCGCAGCAGATCCAAGCCATTTCTGCATCTTCGGGTTCTGCAGCTCAGGTTCTGACCGTCGATCAACTGGCTAGAGTTGGACGGGTGTACGGCGACGGGTTCAATTTGGAATTTAAGGGGTTAATTGCATTTGCTGGGCTTAGCGTCATCACATCAGTTTTGCTTTGGTTCTCTCATATGCGGTCGTCAAAGAAGAGGGAGAGTCTTGGGGAACAAGCGATGTTTACAGAGATGACGGAATCATAGTGGCTAATAGCTTGCGTCAAGAGTTGCTGTGGACCTACAGCAGGGTCGCTGTTCATAAATTGAAATTCCAACAACAAGACGCGCAGTTCGTCTAGGCTATTACATAACCCATTGCTCTCCTAAATACACTTCAACTTACTTTAATAAATTCTCATATATCATTTTGTAGTTTAGAAGATCTTTAAGTTGATTGCTCATGCTCTCCTTGCTAACTATCATGCAGCAGAACCTGGATGAAGCAGATCATCGTAGTTGTTGCGCGAAGATCTCTAACATCTCCCCGGAGACCATAGAGGCTAGGTATTATATACATTTAACCGTCTTTGTGCTGGCTAGCCTTCCTTATAATCGACTCTGTCTTAACTAACCCTTGGGTAGACGTAACTATCTACTTATTCATGTAAGAGGTACGTATCTAGCGGGCACCTGATAGCCTGCAGGTACCTTGCGTTATTTAACGAATAGCTTCAATAGGAGTCATTCGTAGAATGCCCCCATAGCCAGATATATGTTACTATATCCATGATCAATGCTAAGTTACTAAGCTGTTTCGGACGTGATTTGCTAGGTAGGTTAGTAATATCCTACGTATCATCAAGCTTTTATCGTCTCAGATATATATACTTATAGTGCGTCTTATTATCTCTTCAGTTAACCTAGGACTTTGGGGAGGAAACGATCCGAAAGGCAAAGAAAGGCTTAGAAACATGACAACTAGGTACCTAAGTAGCCTTTAAAGGGGTTACTTTAGTAAGCACGCTTTCAACTACCCTGAGCAGAGATAGGGCGATAAGGTTGCTTCTGTTTGGTCTTTTGGTAGTTAGTCCATAGAAAAGGGGGGGGCATCCGTTTCGTTGGTAGGCTTAAGGGGGCTCCACTCAACGTATCTCCCAGCACAAACTGCCATGTTGACGAAAAGTGTGAGAATTATCTGACGATGAGTAATATAGTTCAATATAAAAATAGGAGCGGAATAACCGCAATATGGCACGGCTATATAAGGCAAGTCTAGCCTCTCTTATAGACGTAAAAAGGCATTCATGCCCAATTATGCGCATGCATGATTCTCTTCTTGGGAATTTTGATCTTCAAAGCTTAGCAACACGGCAGGCATCTCTTGGGACCCGGCGACTCAGCGATGGTAGGTAGATGGAAAGCTTCTGCGTCGGATAATCTAACCCGGGTACCTACATAATACGCATACACCTGTCAGTCAGTAAGTTGTGGAACTTTGCTTTTTATAGTGGTTGTTCAACTCAGGTTCAGACATTCCCAGTGATCTGGATCAAGAGAGGCAAGAATTCCAGCAGGTACTCCGTAGGTACATATACCTAGGTTACCTAGGTATAATTACATCCATAGGTATATATTGATATTTATCAATTGGGTCATGGCAGAGATGGATAGTATGTGGTATTTGCAGCACCCCCTCAGGGCAAAGTGCTACGTTGGACCGGCAATGCAGATACAGGTTTGTACATAACTATCTTCATCCTTCTTCGTGAGTGTTCAGCTGCAGCTCGTAGCAGCGTCAGTGACAGCAAGCTGCAAGGTGACCTTTCTGGACCTTGAGCCCGTCGTATTCGCTTGTCATTCTAGTTGAATAGACATGGGTCTGATTGGGAGAAGGTCGATGGAAGCCAAAATGGAAACATTCCTCTTCCAAGACCATTCATCTACAGTACTAGGTACGTATCTGGATTATTTTTTTTTCTTTTCTGCCTTTCCAGCATCTCTTCCTGTAAGCTATCGTTCTCCTTTTTCAACCGCGTGACCTGTGAATTTTTTTCACCGTTGGAAGTGACGCTGACAGTGGACTGGCTAGCGATTGGTTGCCCTGAGAAGGAACTGGGGAAATCTGGTCCGTCATCTTCTGATCAACTTTGAAGGTATTCACAATAGCAATAGTACATAGTACATGTATGTAGTGGTTAGGTAGGTACCTAACCTAGTAGGCACTGTAGTCCGTAGTACTGGTAAAAGTACTGTACATGCCTATAATGGTATGGCCCGTTTCCACTTATAAGAACATTGAAACGTGGACCATCGACAGTAACAGCAGGTAGGTAGGTAGGTAGGTAGGTAGGTAGGTAGGTACAAGAACAAATACCCGTCGTTTGCCTAAGCCGAGCCGAGATATGTATTGTACATCTACAACACAATGGCATGTATGTACATACATTGCGGGGACGCGGGCTTAAACGACCATTGGAAGTGCAGGGGTGGAATGGGTTAATCAGGGTTGATCAAGGTGTGGGGAAACTGAAAAGGGAAAGGTAGCAGATCCTAGGGTCTCGCTACTTGCCCTAGGTATTTAACTAGGTTAGGACCGTTAGGTACTTGATACTGGATCGCGACTCGTTCGTTGTAAAGTCCGGGGATTTAGAAGTGGGGAAATCTTCAATTGAAATCAAAGCTTGAACTGGAACTTTGAAATGTGACTTCTGTCTTTCCAGCCACAGTATTGCTAGAGCCAATAGGATGTACAGAAAAGGAGGAATGGGCAATTGCGGTTTTCGTCCTTGCAGGGAATTAGCCGCCATGAAAGCCGGTGAACTTGCCAGAGGAATAACATTGAAGAGAAGCATTGAAAGACTGACAAGCCCTCCTGATCGTATGTTCTCGTTCTCGACTTACATACACCAAAGTACGTTCCCAACCCCATCTTCACATCTTCACCCACATGATACACTCTTCATGTGTATTGATACGCGAAAGGGGCCAACCCTCTCTGCTCTCCGACCCAACCCAACCTGGTTTGTCCTACCTCTTTGCCTAGGGATCTACTTTACCATGTTAGGTTAATACCATCGACGTCGGACAAGATACATACATAACTATACCTACCTACTTACTAGGTACCTAGCCATTAAGCGCCGCATCCCACCGGAGCGAAGCGATCGCTCTTCTAACATTTCAGTCATTTGACCGTCATCCGTACCTATAGCCGCACTTATGTAACTCGCTGTGCGCGGACTGCTGACGACGACAATGCCTAGCTTAGCTTCTTCGAATTATGCTAGGTACCTACATACATAGTATGTGATCTGCTGAACGTTATGGAATTCGTCCGGCTTGCATTGTTTCCGCCCCCTCGGCACTACGTACATGTAGTGTAGTTGGCTACTTACATACAATGGATTTATGTACATACAGTACGGCCCAGTAAATGCATCTAGGCTTATGTCGTTTAGCGCTACCTCGCTCACAGCCCATGCCGGCCGGATCTGCGCCCTCGTGCTACTTGCAGAACCAACCCCAGCCCAGCATGTTGGGGAAGATACATACTTCAATCTTGTAGAGTTATACAATTCTTACATATATCGTAGGTACATATGTAGGCTTTCGCCTGCGATATATACCCAACCCGGCTTAGTCTGCCTGGCTGATGTACATATATTACTATTACCACTTGCATAGATAGTACACTGGGCATGTAGGTACTTCCTAGGTAGGTATCATCTACTATTATTTGCGTTCTCTTCATTTTCTTGTGCGCTCGGGTTGGCAGTTGGCAATTTGAATCCTTCCAGAATACCTAGACAGTTAGAGAGCGAAAAGGAAAGAAACCAAACAAAAAGGAGAATGATCGGGATCGTCCTGTTTCCACCCCCAGAAAAAGACATCCATACATAACTACCTAGCAATTGTCTGCCGTTAAAAATCTCCAATCTGTAAGTCCACATCACCAACCAATGCGTGCTACTACGTATGCCCATCCATACCTATTACCTACCTAGTACGTGGTATCATTTTTCTGGGACCAGGATCCCATTTCCCCGGGTTTAAACTGCGTAAATACTTCCATGCCATGCATACCTACATAGTACATACCTACTATATGTACATACTCCTACCTAGGTAGTAGTTAGTACAAGGTAGCACTACATATATATGTACATAACATACAAAATATACATACCTTGTGTTATGTATGTAGACAAGGCCAAACCAAAACGACGATCTTTCTACTTCCAACTTCGTCTATCCTCTCCAGCTACCTCAACCTTCCCACTCCCTCCTTTCGCATATTTCTTATTAAGCTTTTGGTCCCCAGCCAATCCATACACTATCATCCCTATGCTTACGGAAGTTGCTGGGTTTCGTCTTTCATGCTTCATCCGGGCCAATATTTATTTCGACTTGATGTTTCCCCGGATATGGTCAAATACCTGATCTCGAAGTCTCTGAAAGTCTTGATCGAATAATTTATAACTGCCTACCTACAACAGCCGATTATATATTACTTTCTACCATTGCTAGGAAATTGCCTCGGGAATCCGCTGTAATATACCAGTTGATCTTACTCTCTAACAGGAATCCCACCTTTCCAAGGTAATACTCGTGGCCAGACAACCAAACGCCTTTGCGATTATGACATACTTCCCTACCTGAGCTAGCTAGCCCTATTCCTGTCTCATATTGCAAATCCCCTCGTCTCAGCTTGTTCCACGGCCACCATCCCCCATACCCAAAGTGGCACGGGGTAGGTTGCTATGGTTGTCAGGTTAGGCGCTCACCAGCCATTCCTGGAAACCTTCGGATTACCTTGGACCAGTCGTCATGAGCGCCGTTTGGACAACAGCCCAGGCGCCGGCAATGGGAGCCGATCACGTTATTTGCGGGTCAGCGCATCCGCACCAAGTTCTCCCCCTAGCATTTTCCAAGTCCTGAAAGCCGGAAGCGGTGGGAATGGCGAGAGTAGCAATTGTAACAGCAATTGTAGTGGTGGTAGCAGTGACAGCGAACCTAACCTAGGAACTTGTAGAAATGGGCTGAGGAGCATTCAGGTGGAGCTGCAGTCCTGCCAGTCATCATTGGCTACTGCGTTACAGCCCCAGGGAACCAGTCGACCGGAGCCAAAGAAGTCAATCTCTGCCCCCGGGGTATTACAGCAGTCCACTAGTAACAACCCAGGGGAGGAAGGTACTGACGACAGTTGCAAAAGTAACGATGCGCCGCCATCTTCGAAAGCCGATGCTAGGTCTCCGATAATCCAATCTTTTATGACCTTTCCGAATGCAGCAGGGCAAAGTGGTGGAGAGAAGGAGCCGACAGTTTTCTGCTTCCCTTTTGAGGCATTTGTAGCAACATCTACGCTCCACTTACGCCCTACCAAGCGAATAAGAGCATTGCACGATGTCGATGGGCCGGGTACTAGTGGAGTTCCTTGTAAGAAGCGGCGACTGCGACTACATCTCGTTACAAGTCGCCTCTCACAGCCTTATTCGTGGCCTGCCACACACATCCTCAACCGGGAGAGCGGAGATGATGGACCCGTCCTGGGCAGATTCGTTAAATTGGCGGCCATCGGAGCCCTTAAAAAGGCCGGTCATCAAAGTGCGCTCATCCGTAAGGCTGCTATCTTGAATAGGGTTCGGATTGGTGTGAGACATGCTGCTGTGCTGAGAGGCCATACCATGATTGCCGGTATGGCAGCTAGGGGCAATCTGCTGAGCCACGGTGTGCAATTAGTGACTTCCTCAAATGGTTCAACGGGTGGACGGTTCCCGAGTCATTCGCCTAGTCTACACGACCATCCAATGTTGCCAGCATGGCGGCCGCATACGACAGCGTTCCACTCTTCTATACCTGGTGCAACTCATCTTGCTAGAAGTGAACTTGCGAGTAACGCGAGTACTTTGCAAGAAATAAATCCTAGTGCAACGATAACTGGGCCTCACAGAACTTCGAATCTGCTATCGAGTCCATCTCCAAAATCCCACGACCTACCGTCGCAAAAGGAGGAAGAGGATGATGGGGTTGCGTTTCCCTCGCCAGATCTTGAGACACGATACGCGGACCTTTCGGATGATGACCTGGATGACGTTTATGCGGATTTCGGGGTGTTATTCGGTGCTGGTATGCGATCACCAGAGGATGGCAATGGCAGTATTGAGGCGGCTAGCGGAGAGCATTTTTATGAGGAATACCTTGACGAACTTGATGGAATAAGGTGGGTGGCATAAAACACAAGCGTAGGTGTAGTTTATATTGATATTTATTTTATTCATCTATTATCATTTAGATGGCAGGTAGATGGCTGACTTCAGCTTTGCTCTTGGCGTCTTGAACACGATGGAAACCAAAATGAGGTGAAATCCAGGCATACCGGATAAGTCACCTTTAGGAATGTAATCCTATTGCGTTCTCATGGTAGCATCGAGTTATTTGATATCGGGCAACAAGAGATAATGAAAACAGGCCCCCTAAAGTATACTTACCTAGTAGACGATCATCCATGTACTGTTTACTTTCTGTATTGGATGTGTGGATATCATATTCATGACAGATTGACTTGTGTACCTTCCTAGGCCGGCAAGTAGGGTTCAGTGTTAAGCGCAATAACACTGAACGTGAAGGCAAGACGTCCTTCACTTAGGAGCCTCCAGCTTCTTGGCACGATCCAAAGCAATGTCAACCATCGCCTAAGCAACAGGATATTAGTAAATTCAAGAAGTTCTAAACAATATCAAGTTGGGGTATATGTCGTGCTTAATAAGCCCTAACCCACCTGGATGGCTTCTTTTTCCTCAAGCTGGATATCCCCACGGTCGATGCGCTCACGCATGTTCTGCATCACGACGATACGACTTCGACCATTAACAAACACTACGTATCGCAGACCGGGGTATCGAGTCTCATATTCGTCATTGAGCATCTTGAGCTTTGCGGCTTCCTCTTCCTTTTCCTGAGAAGCGCCTGAAGTGTTTAAATGCGCTTGCTCGGCTCGGCTCTGAGCGCTGTCGACCTTCTTTTCACCTAGTCGCGGATGCGAACCTAAGATGCCGTGGAGCATGGCCTGGGCATTTGGTGGTTTTGGAGATTGCGTTAAACGAGACATGAGAGTACCAACATACTCGATAAGGGTTGAATATGAAGTAAAGGGCGGGCCATCGCGAATCGCAGCAATAGTGAGTGCGTGTAGATCTGCAGACGGTTCAAAGAGCAAGTCAAGCACAGATTCGATAGTCTTATCATCAGCACCGTGAAGAGAAGAGATGGATGGTAAAGATGGAGAAAATGACATTGTCGATCGATAGAAATTGTTTGGTACTGCGTTTTGAACAAGGGATAGTGAGGCGGGATATGTGTAGATTCTAGGAATATACCAGGTAAGTAGGTACCTATGGTATGTGGAAGTGACACTGAAGTGTGTGTGTGTAGTGTAGGAACATGCATGTGAAGTTTAATGTTGGATGCACCGCCAAGTAATTAATGCATGTACCGGGTTGCTTAGTAGTACATAGTAGTGGGGTTTAATGCATATGGTTGTTGGACAAGGGTTCCATCTTCCCCCAAAGTTCAATGTTCCATCCAACTTAACGTTAACTAATTGGAATCATTATTGGATCGAGCCTCAGCGGAATAAGTACCGGGCCGAGTCTACCTAGCTTATTTCCATTTTATCCAATCAATTCAAAGTCAACATTTCTTTTGCGCGCGCAACCTTTAACTAGTCAAACCTGTTGCTCTTTTGAAGCTACAAAGACAAAGCTATTTTTGCCAATATCCAAAATTCCATCAAGACCCGAAAGTCGAGCGCAATTCTACCAGATCATAGATGCAGCAGTCGTCCACAATCTAACTATATCACAATGCTCTGTGCTAGTAAGTGCTTCATGCAACTTAGTACAAATGTATTCTTTAGGTAGTTAATTCAGCTAACACTAAATAGTTTCTGGCGAAGCTCCTCAGGAGCCTGTCGTCTCTAAATTGTCAGGTATGCCCAGCCAGCCAGCCAGCCAGCCAGCCAGCCAGCAGCCAACGGCCAGCATCTAACAACCGCCCGCGCGCTCTTGAGCTCATCTATTTAGTCTACATCTTTCCAGTTTGTGTGTAAACAGCTAACCCATACCAGGTGCTGTCTTCGAGAAGAGACTAATCGAAAAATATATCGAGGAGAATGGAAAAGATCCTGTGAGCGGAGAAACCCTGACCCAGGACGACCTTCTACCCATCAAGACTGCCCGCATCGTTCGACCCCGACCTCCTACTCTCACATCTATACCCGCTCTTCTCTCTACCTTTCAAAATGAATGGGATGCTCTGGCTCTGGAGACGTACAACCTACAGGAACAGTTAGCACGAACGCGCGAGGAACTTGCCACCTCGCTATATCAGCATGATGCTGCTGTCCGGGTCATTGCGAGATTGACAAAGGAGCGCGATGAGGCTAGGGATGCGCTATCGAAAGTGACTGTGTCAGCTGGTAGCGGAAGCAACGGTGATGCTATGGCCGTGGATGCTGAAGCCCTGCCAGAAGAGCTGGCAGCCAAGGTGGACGAAACACAAGCAAAGTTTGTGCCATGGCTTTCTTTTATTGGCAAACGTTGGCTAATTCCTTTACAGGTTATCTAAAAGTCGGAAAAGGCGGCCCGTACCCCAAGGATGGGCAACGGCTGAGGACGTTGCCTCCTTCACTGTCGAAACCACAAACTCACTCCCTGTTCCCCAGGCTACGACAGTCAGTGTCGAGGAAGGATACGCTACTGTCGGTGGACTGCAGGGCGATGTTGCTATATACTCAATTGAAGCCGATAAGGTTGAACGTTCATTACAAGTCAATGAGCCGATAACAGATTCGGTGTGGGAGGGCACCAGAGTCTTCTTTTCTACTTCCAAGGGCTCCGTCAAGGTTTTTGAGAACGGAAGCGAGATTGCGTCGTTTGCGGACCATGCCGGACCTGTTACCGGCCTTTCGATCCACCCGAGCAAGGAAATCCTCGCATCCATCGGATCGGATAAAAGCTTCGTCTTCTATGACCTGGTTGGTTTGCGTCGTGCCACGCGCGTGTATACTAATGCTGGTGAGTTAAGCCCATGGCCAGGCCATCCAATCAAGCGTGAACCCCCCCAATACGGTTGCTAATGTTATGATAGCTTTGACGGCTTGCGCTTTCCACCCCGATGGTCATCTCTTCGCCACGGGTACCAACTCCGGAGATATAAAACTTTTTATGACTAAGACTGGAGAAGAAGCTGCGTCGTTCTCTCTAGGAGCTCCTGTGCAAGCCATTACCTTCTCCGAGAATGGCTTCTGGTTCGCGGCTACGGCAAAGGGGCAGTCTACAGTAACGATATTTGACCTTCGCAAAGAAGGCGAGGCTGCACATGCCAAGGTGCTCGATGTTGGTGGTGCGGTACAAAGCTTAGTGTGGGATTACTCGCAGCAGTTCCTCGCTACTGCTGGACCGGCTGGAGTGACAGTGCAACAGTACAGCAAGGGCTCTAAGAAATGGTCAGAGCCGTTACGAGCGGCGGTCAGCGCAGTAGATATCAAGTGGGCTGCAAATGCAAGCAAGCTTATAGCTGTGAATGGGGACGGTGTGGTCAGTGTTCTTGCTGTCAAGGAGTCATGACGATCATGATGATCAGGACGAAGACATGGGGCAGTAATAATGGCGTTCATCGGAGAATAATGCAAGCCGATCAGGTTCGGACTCGGTGGTGAAATACCAAAGAAAAATTGATTTTTCGACCCCATGGCACATATAAGCAAACCACTTTGACAGTTTGATAGATGTACAGTATGCTCATTAGGTTATTGAAGGGTGATTTACATACCTACCTAACCTAACCTACGTGGTAGTAATACCTTTTCGCGTGAATTCATGGATCTTGCAAAGACTTCTGAGAATTGGCAAGGCAGTAAGTACAAATAGGTGCATCATGATAGTAGTAGGCAATAGTAGTAGGTAGTACATATTGGAGATCAACGAAGCGAACATCTGGAAACTTGAAGTTGAGGTTTCGAGGTTGAGTAATCTGGTAGTTGCATAGGTATGTGTATTTATTCATAATATAACTAACTACACGCTAAGTAGGTACCCTTAGTTATGTGCATAGTGAATAATGTGGCGTCATCCCTGTCATATGGTATTTAGCATATGTAAACCTTAGGTTAACTTAGTACCTAGCATAGTAATATCTGACCAGTGACAGCAAGTACAATACAAACGAAGGGTTCCAGGTTTAAAATATTGATTATGAAATTCGCCATTACCATAGTTATTATCAATGCTCAATCTAGTAGTGAATCTACCCTACCTGGGGTAGGTAAACCTTCTCTTTCACGCCTCTTCATCTTTTTTTCTTTTTAGTTGTTTTGATTTTGTCCCAGCATCGACTTTCTTTTCTATCCCTTACTCGGTCAGCTCTAACTCATACCGCATTCACCACCTTCACCACATTTACCACTAGACATCGTGAACAACTCATTACCCCACGGCGAATTTTCCCGATTTATTCGATACATCGGGTCAGAACATATCAATCATTCACCACTACTGGGCGCATATTTAGCACAAGGCAGCTTATGTTGGCGCATTCCCGATACATCGACCACGATCGTGTAGTATTGATTTGCCTTCATTGTTGTGTATCTGGTCCTGGGGGGCCAGGCCAACATTTTTGGTACGTTTCTATTGTGTTTAGTACTACTAGTAGTACTACCATAGGTACATATTGGCAGTTTGCGCCATTCCGACCTCGAGACCGAACTTCTAAACCTACACCAAACTGCCCTATTCACATATATCTCCTTGACTACCAACTCAGCCTAACTATCTACCTACCCACTTACTTACTAGGTACTAGGTACTAGGTATTACAAATAATACTCTGGCACTGTTACTTTGACTTTCCACACGTGCATATCCACATACATGCGTGCCTCATATTTATACACATTTCATACACATCCTTTCACAGTTAGGCGTCCTACTGTACACTAACACCAACTCTTTTTTTACCTTTAGAACTACAAGAATTGGTACATTCTCGGTTATGGCAGAAATTGCCAATTCTAAATCCACAACTCCTACAACGTCACCTATACCATCCTTTGCGATCTAGATCTTTATTCGCCTCGATCCTCGCCTGTCACTCGACATCGATCCCTTCAGAACTTGAAATATAGCCGCAGCCCTTTGTTTGCTGCTGTCTTCGATTCTCCTATGTCGTTCAACCTCTCAAATGAGTTGCTCGACTTTGTCTACCTACTCTCCTCATCTGACTCCGAGATGGACAACGATGGCATCTTTGACGACCAGGACGAGGCTGGCCCCCTCGAGTTCCACGATAGCCCAAACTCAGTGGAAGAAGTAGCAGGGGAGGAGGAAGAGGAACAAGAAGCAGAACAAGAAGAACAAGAAGAAGAAGGCTTGTTTGTAGATGGTCGACATGACATTGATCCTGCTGACGCTGAATATATTCCACGATGGAGCAGCCCGGAAGACAACTATTTTGAGAATAATCAGCTTCTAGGTCAGGTGCGTCGTGGTGGCAATGCTGAGAACCAAAGAGATGAATTAGTAGAGGTAGAGATGAATATGAGAGCAGAACTGCCAGACGTAGGAGAGCGAGCAGAGCGGGCCCCTCAACTAAGTCGGAGACAAGGCCAGGCCGAAATTCGAGCGCAGCAGCCTGAGGTAATCGATCTAACAGGCGACAATGAAACCCCGCCTCGACCAACATTTCGCCAACGGACTCTTAACGAACGTAGAAGACAATCACAACAACGAACGCCTCCCCGGTTAGCCCGCAGCGACGCTGGTTATATGCACACGGCAACCGTAATTGACCTCGTTTCCGACTCAGATGATGAGCCAGCCATTGTGCAGCCTAACATTCGTTACAACCCTCCGCATAATCATCGCGCTCATCGTGCTCATCCGTACGCTGCACCTAGAGCACCGCAGCGACCTCAGAGTCCACCACCAGGCGCATTTCCTCCAAACGCATTCCAGCAAATCAATCGTTTAATTCAACAAATTCCCATATTTCGCATGATGAATCAAGGGCCAGGCCACATTCGAGACAATCATGACGATGAACTCGTCTTGATTGGTGACCGACATCTGGCGGGTAATGCGTTTGCAGGTAGGGCTGGACCAGATATGCCGCCGGTACGTCTAGATTACATTGCACATCCATTCGCGCATCAGCAGCCAATGGGACAAGGTGGCGCTTCTCCCAGACCTGCGCATGATCCACCAAAAGAAGCACGAGAAGGGTTTACCAGAAGTACTGGCGAGGATGTGGTTGCCATTTGCCCCAGCTGCGACCAAGAGTTAGCATATAACCCGGACGGGGACGACGATACTTTGAGCGCTCCTGCCAAGAAACCCCGAACGAAGAAGGATAAGGCTGAGCATCACTTCTGGGTCGTAAAAGCCTGCGGACACGTGAGTATCCATGATACAGATTACTACGATTGATCAATGATTAACCTGCTTCTAGGTCTATTGCAAGAAGTGCTTCGACAACCGCAAGCCTGTAGGCAAGAACCCGATGCCGGTGGGCTTTCGGCCAGACCCCAGCGGTACCAAAAAGGTGTTCTGTGCTGTGGACGATTGCGACACGGATGTGAGCACGAAGTCCTCCTGGGTTGGCATCTTCATGTGATGTATGCAGCCCACTCAGCCTTATAATTCTCTACGTTGGATTCAGCCTCGATCGATTCTCGGGGATATCACGAGATACCCTTTTACATAACCACACTATCTGTGGTAATTCATAATAGCATCATGAGGCGTTACCTTGCATTGCATTTTATTCCGTTGTAGGCGCAACGGAAATAAGGATTCGGTGGAGAGGGGGGAGTAAAGAGGAGTTGGTGGGATCAGGATCAAAATCAGGATTCTACACACTGCATAGGGCGCGAGGAGGAGAAGGACTGAAGAACACAAGATTCATGGTGTACTTGTGTATCAATTACCTGGGCTCTCTTGCTCGCGCGTACGTTTCGCGTACTTTGCGCGTACTTTGCTCCTAATGAAACAACACCGCTATGTATCTAGGCAAGCACCTAAGGGTGTAGGCGTAGGTAATATATAGGTAAACAACTCAATAGGCACGATATCATTGTGCTACATACCCAATGCATGTCAAGTTAGGCATGGCAACTTCATGATTTGGCTCTCATGTATTACATTGTAAATGTTTCTACTCGCCTTCTATCCTAATAAAAATACCTAAGATAGGGCTTGAGAAAGGAGACCATAATTTTTATGACTTGCTAGAGGCTCAGACAACCTATGCTCTCCCTTTTTCAAATCGCTGTTGTTCTCAATAGGTCTTGACGACCATTCCCTCGTTTTATAGGTACTTAAGTAGGCATTCAGGTAGTTGAAGCAGTTTGCGAAATAATGAGGGACAACGATAACAATACCTACAACACCTATTCACACTGTATTTTCTTACCCTATCGTAGCTCAACTTACCTAGGTACCTAAGTACCTAGTAGACAGTACTAGGTAGTAGTAAAAGCTTTCCCATTCAGTAACAAAGCTGTACCTAGATGGATAGGTATTAAAGTACGTGAAGGTTTATAATTGCACGATTACGAAGTCAAGAGGAAAGGGAGGCCGAAGCCTACGAAATTTTGTGTTTTGTTTTTCAATTATGAATCTCAATTGTCAGCATCGTGTTTACCATCATGGTGTCCTATTTCCATGAGTAAGTGCAATGCCAGTATCATCCATCCGTAGAGTGTATCGACGGCTCAGTGCCTGGTACCTAGTACGTTGTCCGATATACACCTTACTTAGCGACTATTAACAACGTAAACCGTTGATGTAGTCCTTAAGAGGCATCCATCGTATGTATACGAGCAGTAGAGTAGTGGTACAGTAACTTTGAGACGCGTAAAACGTTTCTCGAGCTTCTGCAATACCTATCGTACCCATATTCCAGACTTCAACCCGCATGTCGACCCAGTAGAGGCTGCTCGTCTTCCTCCCCCTCACCAGCGCCACCATCACTGCTGTCCTCCCCTCCATCCTCCCCCTCCTCCTCCTCCTCCTCCTCCTCCTCCTCCTCCTCCTGCTGCTCCTCTCCCTGATGCAAGCGACGCTCCGCAAGTATAAGCTCCGTCTTGACCTTATGCTTAAGCATAATCGTCTCCATCGCGGGGACCCCGGGCTTGCTCTCCAGCTCGTCGTAGAAGTCCTGCCACATCTTGACGGCCTTCTCGGGCCTCTTCTTCCGCCCGAACGCGCGTTCCTGGATCTTGAGCCCCTGGTACCGCACCTTGTCCTTGAGGCGGGACTCGGCCGCCGCGTTCTTCGCCAGCGTTTTCTCCGCCTTCGCTTTGACGTTCTGCGCCCAGGTGAGGTTGTTCGGGAGGCTCAGGGTCGACGGGGTCGTGGCGGGGGGCGTCATGTCGATGGGCAGAGCGCCGGACATCATGGCGGACATTATGTCCAGGCGCGGGATCGTCGTGGGCGGCAGGTTGCGGAGGTAGCCCGGGATCCTGTAGTTCTTTCCCAGGGCGAGCTCGTCGGCCTCGAGCTGCGCGACGAAGGCCGGGTTGCGGCTGCGGTCGAGGCGGTCGACGGCCCAGCACGTGCGCTTGAGCTCCTGCTTGAGCTCGTCGAGGTACGCTTCGAAGTGAGTGTGGACGCGCTGCCAGAAGAGGTGGCAGTCGACCTCCGCGACGAGCTTGCCGACGTCGACCATCTTGCCGAGCGTCGTGCAGAAGAGCTCGCGGTCCTCGGTCGGGGCCTTGGCGTGGAGGATGCCGAGCTCGACAAAGCGGTAGACGCACCATCCGGCGCCGAGGAGGGCAGTGGCCGCGCGGTGGAGGCTGGCGGTGGCTTCGTCCATGCCGTGCTCCTCGAGGAGGTGGTGCTCGCTCAGTGCGGTTCGGAGGTGGCGGGCCTCCTGCTCAAACTCGATCATGGTGTCGAGATATTCACGAATGGTTGGGTTCTCGCGGAGACTCTTGCAACGGTCGGCGCGGTCGAGCTGGTTGTTGAGCCAGGTCTCGAGGGCTTCCAGGGGGGCGACGAGTTCCTTGCGTTGCTTATCTTGGCGGTAGAGAACCATTTCGAGATCATCGGCTCGGTGGATTGGAAGGGGAGATACGGTGAGGGGATCGAAATGTACCTTTGGTTGAACCAGAGGGAAAGTAGTGCTAATGGATCGCGAGCGGTGGCGTGGACGGTTCATCTTGCCGGTGGTTTTTCTTGGTTGTTTTTACATATGTGAGTATAATGGGTTTGTAGAGAGAGGGAAAGGATGTGGAGAAGGAAGAAGGAAGAAGTAGGTATTGTTTATTGTCCTCGAAAGATTTATTTACTTGTTCAAATGCTCGGCATATTTGCTCAAGTGTTACGAGGGTATTTCGAGGCGAGACGAACACTGTCAGTCGAAAGCTCTGCTGTTCAGATGTATCAAGGTTCCTTTTACGGGCCATCCATCTGTCTGGGTTCCTTTGCTGTCTTTCGACTTTCATATCTCTTGGTTTGGGGTGAAGGTGAAGGACAGTCTGTGTATCGACCCCCTAACAATCACCCTCGTCTCGAAGTTAGGTACTCTTCCTTCCAAGGAGCTTGGGCAACTATGCCAACTTAGCAAGTACCTTCAGGGCTATACATGGGGTGCAAATCCAGTCATACCAGAACATGGTGACGGTAGTGCTGTCCCTATATTACATGTATTCTAGCAAGACGTTGTAGAAAAGGGGGGGGGGGGGGGGGGGGGGTTGAGTGGTGTACCCCTATTACCCCTATTTTCCAAGTTTCCCGACTCTCGTCTCCGTTAGAGCATAAACCATAAGATTTCGGTATATAAAGGTTATAATTGATATATGAGTGCTCAAAAAGGTATTTCCAAGTGGCTTTTATGAGATTTTTTGCCACGACCTAGGTAAGTACAGGGTATTAAGCCATTGGCCTGCTAGGTAGATGGTATAAGGCTGGCGTTGGCTGAAAGTAGCATGCTGATTCAGGCCGACAGCCTAAAACACGAGATATTATCTTTAGTGCGGTAATTAAATATGAATTATAAGTCCTATGCCCAACAAGGATCAAAATAAAAGAAAACATTAGCTTATAGGACTTGTAGATGTGAGCATGGGTGTTACTGTAGATATTCATTCTAGGTAGATATCATATCCACCAGGCTAACAGGGCATATAGAGATCCAGATATGTTCATCGGCCTCGTGACATCTTTACTGATCGGATTCCGCAATTCGTCTATCATTTACCGGTCTCGTAATAAGCTAAAATCTAAACTACCATGGATGCGTTTTTCTATACGGGCATATCCTCCTCATCAGCCATGATCCGATATCATGGTCCAAGTTCCATTTTCATCTCTTCTACTAAAACATTTCGTAGAGGACATCATCCAATCCTGCATCTCCGTAATCAGTTTCCTGCGATGCGGGTATCACCTTCTCCTCTGGTTTCTGGTTCTCTTTATCCTCGAGTAATTGCAGCATCTGCTCATAAGAATTACGTGACCGACTTTTTCGTCGATACTCTTCGTTTGGTTCATCAATCTTTTGGTTTCCTAGACTCGTTACTAAGTTTGATAATTGATTTATCGACCGCGGCGGCGGTGGTGGGTCCTGGGGTCGTGTATAAGGTCGTGTATAGGGTCGTACATGGGACTGAGAGCGCGTGTCTGCTAGTATCGGCCCTGAGTTAAGAGAGTCTGTCCGGCTAGCATGTACACCCATATCTGTTTCTATGCCGCCCTCTTCTCGCAATAATTTTTCAAGTCGTTCGTCTTCTAATCTTTGGATATGATCTAATTCTTGCTGAGCCTTTCGCCGAGCTGCAGCGTCCTCCCAAGCTGTCGTCTTTGCTCTTTCTATCACGTATCCATAAGGCATTCCTCGACTTCCCGAGGCGAAGAATGGTTTAGGTGAATTGTGCGGTGATGTTACACGTTGTATCAGAGTTGCACCAGACACTTTCTCTTGATGAAAACTAGTCATAGATGGTGGGTTTTCAGGCTTCTTAGCAAGTTTAGCCGTGCTTCCAGATTGTTGATCATTTGTGGCCCTTCCATTCCACTCCGCCCTCGATGGAGCGGCATTGATTCTGGCTGTAGGTGGTTTTTCGGGGTGCTCATTCGATGCACAACGCGTTTGAGGCTCAAGTGGTAGCCCGTGTGATCTACTTCTAGGATTTAGACCTGAATTCCCAGCTTGTCTTTGACCTAGCGGAGGCCTAGGCTTTGCTAGGGTGTTGTTAGAGTTGCTAGAGTTATCACGAATCGTTTTTGTCTTGGGTAAAGACAATAGATCATCTTCAATATCTTGGATGTCTTGCGACGAGAGGGACACATCTTGCGTCGAAAAGAAGGACATATCGTATATGTCCGAGCTTGTCGAGGTTGTAGATGACTGAATGTTGGTAACAATTGGTAAACCTAAGGTTCTTGGTCGGTCATACGGCACATTCTTTTGGACAAAAGTTCTCTTTTTGTTATCACCCGTGGTAGGAAGCTTGCGATCAGGGTTCGGTGCGATCCGTGCCGAAGCAAAGCCAGGGTTCCTTTCCAAGTGTGCGGGAGGGTTGGGTTTTAACCTTTGTCGCTTATGATCCGTCCTAGTATTCAGCCTTGGTTCATCGAAGATCTCCCTTACTTCTTGGGAAGGACTGGGGAATAAGTCAACAAGATGGCTAAGCATGGCCAGCTGCGTGTTTGGTGGTGGCTGTTCTTTTCGTATTCCCTGAAGGGGACTTTCGTTAAGTTTGGGTGGGGGATGAGTGGCGAGTCGGGAATTGGGTTCTTGTACCTGCTTGGGTAGGAATGGTGATGTGCTGGGCCCTCTGTTAGTTGTAACTTGGTTACGTGGTTTAAATTTTGGTGGAACTGGAGGCGGTCCCATCGGTGTTTTGGGGTGTCGAAAAGAACGTGCTGGGTTGGGCTCGTCAGGTGTTGATCTCTTAGACTTCTGACTGATTTTCGAATTGGCATCGTTCGCATCGTTCGCATCGTTCGCATCCAAAACGTGTGGTGGCTGTCGCACAGGAGGTAGCGGTACATTATCTTCCCCCTTCTGGTCTGGCGTCAACTTCTGCATGGGAATAGGTGATGGGCGATGAATCTTGGGTGGTATTGGTGGCTTTGGTGGTGACTGGCTATTGGGAATAATCTGATCTTCCAACGGGGGCGATCCTTGACCGCGAAGAGCCGTATCCTCAACTGAACATATCGCGATATCAATCGAGTCATCCAGGAGTTCATCGTCAAGCAATTCCATTAACGCGAGGTCGGTCACATCAGTATCTGCAGGCTTATGTTCTTCTCCGATATCAAGATGCTTGGTCGGCGGTGCCATACGATCAGATACCCCTGCAGAGCTCGGACTACACTTCCGAGCCGGACTGACGGGTCCCGGCGATTCTATCTTTTGCTTTTTCGGAGGTGGCTCGGCATCATCCTCAGACTCGGATGATAGAGTGCCGCCATCTGTTTCGTTGTCGGTGGTAGCAGGTAGATTCACCACCGTATTCTTCTGACTGACCTGGCTGTCCCGACTATCCTGCTTCTTCACATTACCGCGAAGAAAGCGAGCAATTGTGTCCTGGGACGGACGAACATTGACGAGAGGCAAGCCTTTCTTCTTCTTTTCTGCCCGTTCCTTTTCTTCCTTCTCCTTCTTCCTCTCTCTTGCAGCCCTTGCGCGAGCTTGGTTCTTCTCCTTCTCCAACTCTCTTCGTATGCGATCTTGTTCGAAGAGTTCCTGGCGTCGGCTTTCAGCTTTGGATAATTTTGGGCCCTTGTCTGCGTTTGCCTTTCTATAAGCTTTCTTTACTTGTTTTATAGTCATAGGCCGCTCGCCAGGAATGGATCGGTCAGTGTCGAGGTCGCCATTGAAGGCGCATGGCGCGTTAGGTATGATAGAGAACGTTCCTTGGCCGGGAGCCATGGTAGGTACCCAGGTACATAAATCATGGATTGTCCAGATCGCCCATTCTGTATGATGTACAACTTACGCCGTAGTACTAAGCAGAATGTCGATTGTTGAATGTTAAGAATAATTTAAAGATTGAAATTTGAATACCTAGGTAGTAGGTAACCGTGGATATGTACATTCAATGTTGTTGCAACTTACAAGTTCTAGCAACTTGAACTTGCGCTTCAAGGCAACTAACTTCAAAGTGGTAGTAGTAGTTGGTAGGATTAAGTACCTAGATGTACCCACTTGCACATATGTATGTACCCGTTCACGTCAATGCACTTGATAATACATACCCTGCATGTAACTATGTGCCTAAAAGGAACTAACTGATACTAATGCAGTACATAGTAATCAATATTTACATGATTTAACGCTACTGGCATGTAACTAAGCGCGCCGTCCCACTTTACGCGTACTTTGAACAGTGCGCAAATAGTGCATTGTTTCGAGGTATACCGTATGTAGTTACATGATAACCCGGAGGTACCTAGGGTAATTAACATACTAGGTACCTAATAACTACCCTCATGCTATATTATATTATTTCCCCCACTTACGAATAACTCAACACCTACCTACACACAATATCACATCCCAAGTCATACTCCAGATGTCTGTTATATAAGTAGTAGATAATTGGGGTATTCTCATTAATAGTCATCAACTAATTATCCCACCACTTCCGAGGGTATATACTTTCTATATATCATGCACTTATTTAGCAAGTTTCCGCTGGGCAACCCACAGCTGTGCCGAGTACGTCGCCCGAAACTCCAGCAATCTGAAGAACAGCTCCGATGACACCGCCCATACCCTCACCCGCGATACATCCGGCCGCAATTGCATATCCATACAGATCAAAGCTCTTGATATCATGTTTCTTCCAGAAAAAGGCCACCAGCGCCCCAAACATAGAAGCCGTAGCGAAAGTTGCCGGAAAGATAACCCACGATAGCGCGATAGCACCCCAGTTGGGGAGGTATTCCCGGTACTTTTCACGCTCACCCACGAGGTAGAAGTGTCGAAACACCACCTGGCCCACGCAAAAGACACCCATGACAATTGAGAAAATCCCCGACGTCAAAGGGATGCTCACGGCCGGATCAGTCACCGCTTGCGCCACAGCAGCCCACGCCGCAACCGATGGCACTGCGAAAGGGCAGTGTTTGGCTTCCATGTCCAGAATACACGGGTAAGCAGTGGTGAATAGAACAAATACTCCCGGCGCAAGGAATATAGATACCGTAGTTCCGAGGCCTTGCGCTATCCATTGCTTGATAGGCGGTGTTCCCAGAAGGAAGCCAGTACGGAAGTCACTGGTTAGTGACATGGCAACATCGGCACCTCCGGAAGCCAGACCACCGGCAACCAAGTTAAGACGTTGTGCATGCTTGATTGAATAGCCACTGTTCTTGGTAGCAGCGCCAAAAACCAGTTGGCTAGCTTTCGATGCCGCGGTCAGTGGCGTTTGGTCGGTGACGGCGCCTATTTGAATGGCCAAAAACGAAAACAAGAAGCCCAGGACGCAAGCGAGAATTGTCAAGCCAGGGTTCATTCCCCATTGCACAGCAAATATCACCATGGCGACGGCGATAGTGGCAATGAGACCAGTAACCCACATCCACATGGGAACCTGATCCTCTGGCCGTGCCGGATCTTCAATCATCTGATTGGCCGCCTTCACTTCCTTTTCGGCATGCGAGGCAAAATACTTGGAATGTTTTCCGTGTTTCGTCATGAAGCTGTGGATGTTGGCGCACGTCTTCTGCCAAACTACCCTACCACCATATCCGATTACCTTGTATTGGACGGCCAACTCGGCCATGGAGGTACACACCATGATCATGACACCGGGCCAAAGTAGCCAATCTGGATATAGGTAAGTTATTATTTGAACCAGGTAGATAGATATGAAGGTATGAAAAGAACTTACACCGTGGAGATGGTGTCTCGTGGCCAAGGTTACTAAAAGAGGCGAATGAGTACCAATCAGCCCATCGCGGGTCGTCCTCAATCTGTTGTTTGCCGATGCATTCGCCGTAATGAACGAGGACGGGACCGATAATCGCCCAAGCGAGTACAGCACCACCAAATAGAGAGAGTGCGGAGTTCATGCCGATTAGAATACCGCTCCCTATGAAAGCAGGAGTCCACTCAAACAGCCAACCCCAACTTTCAATGTTCATAGCCCAACTTGCTGCAAACGGTAAGAGTTAGCAAACTAAGGTATGCATCTTATCAAGACTCTATGCAGTCGACGTATGTCTGAAGGACAATAGCTCTTTGGCCAGCTCCGTCAGAACATACCAGTTCTCGAAATAGACCGGAAAAGAGCACATAGAACTAAAAGGGGGTGTGGAATACTTACTGTAGCCAGACCATATATGTATCCACGTAAATATATGCCAGTCGTATAAGATACCGACAGCGTAGTATGATGCCACTCGTTGGATAATAGCAGCAGAGAAGGCTATGCTGAGAGCTTTAAGTTTACTGATAGCTTCCGAAGCACCAGCCACGCCACCGTGCATGGACTTGATAGTCAAGGCTACGGCAGTAGGGGTTGGGAAGAGCAGCTTTAGTTCCCGGCCGACCTGGATGATGAAGAACTTTCGGAGGGGGGTCACAAAGAAGAGACCAAAGAATGAGCAGACGAGGGTAATGGTGAGGATGGCACCAAAGCTATCCCTGGGATTCCCTTCCTGGGCGTGGAGCTGATACATGGCTGGGATACCGGCAACGAAGATTCCAGCAATGCCACCCGCACCCGTAGCCGCGGCCTGGATGATACTGTTTTCTTGAGGACCGAACGAACCACCGATAATAGGCAGAGTACTCTTCGAGCAAATTTTGAGGATGCCATAACCAAATATGGCCCCGAACATGGACGCTGGGAACGTGAAACCTGTCTTCAGACCTACCACGCTGTTAGCAAAGTCATTTTAACCACCGGACTATCCCAATGAGAAGTGCCCGTACACATAGGTAGGTAGAAATACTAACCCAAGTACAGGTTGGAAGCATTCACGAGACAGCCCAAGACTATACCGACAACGACTGCGCGGATTGTCAGAGGATTGTGCTCGTCCATGACGCCACCGTCCATCTTCAAAGGCACGTATAAGTCGAGGTCGGCCTCGATATCATCGATATCGAGATCGACCGCATGAACCTTCTCGTCCATCTCCTTATCCTTCTCGGATGTGGGTGTCTGTTCCTTTTCTTCGGCCACCGCCGTCGGGTGAGTCTCAGTCGAAGTCATGGTCGCGGATATCAGTTCAGAGACAGTAAGGTCACGAACCGACAAGTTGGGTTTACCAAGGAAGCAGGAACAAGTTCAAGTTGTATACTACGCACAAAACAAAACGGGTATCAATCACTTAATATAGCCTTGCTATCTAGGACTCCCGGCGGAGATGACCAGCATTTCAAGGTAGCATCGCACCCTGCAACATCTCACAATGCTATTCCCATCGCACCCACCCCAGATTCGCTCCAACCATGCTTTTCTGGCGTGGGCGAACCAAATATTTTCGGTTCTATGTAGGGACTATGGCAGAGATAAGCAATGAAACGTCTACGGGGGCTTCGATGAACCCTTGACCAGGGTATCTTGGGGCATGTGCATACTAGTAGTACCTGGTAAGTAAGTATGGACAAGATCCACTGATACGAACAGGTAAAATAGTACAGCTACTACAGCAGGATGAACGGCATTTCTCTCTCTCGTATGTACTTCGGACCCCAAACACATAGATAGAGTACATACTGTACATGCCTATCTACAATCTAGTATTTGGTTATAACCCATTGAGCCGCGAGCCTGCTGTGTAGAATTGCTCTACCTACAGATCAACCAACCCAAATCATATCAGGAAGGTGACTAGATACTTTACCTACTTAGGTAGCTACTACAACTATAAGGGGCCAACCAATACGATACTACTAGTCCACCACCTACATTATGAAGTAGGGTATGCAGAGCAGATCCGACATTTTACTAACCACGTCCTAATATTTCCACACGTGAGCTCAAATCCAATCGACGCAGAAAAAAACCAAAATGGTGCTTTTCATGCTGTGCCCTTTTTTATCTCTAGCGTATAACCCCCGGTATTTCATGCCGAAGGATTTGGCTAATCAATCAATCATTGAACCCTCTGCGAATAGAAACCCGCGCCCCGGGATTGACTTGAACCGACGCGGCATGAGATTATGATTTAGACGAGGCACCAACTTTTTTTTTTTTCCTTCCTTCCCCGTGTCTCCTCCTGAGTGGGCTCCTAGATCATCGTTAAAAAGATTCGAACTTGGCATAACCTAGGTAGCGATCGGGGCTACCAGGGGTGGGCTCGATGACACGATGATCAGACAATAGGTAATACTAGCATACTACGTAGTAGGTAGATTCCTTAAAAGAAGCGGATGGGTGAAAACGGCAGTTACTAAGTGAGTAGCCTACATACATAGCGGTATCTTGGCTGAAAATACAGGTAGTTACTAAGGTAGGTAGTTACTAGGTAGTCTTTCTAGAAAAACTTACGAAGGACCAAATCAATACATAGTAGGTAGGTGAGTAGGTACACGGTATCATTGGGAGTGGAGTCTTGCGATTCAAACTACCTACCTACACTACAACATAGGTAGTAGGTACGGACACATATCATGGATCATGGGTAAATTGATCCAGCGCCGGTGAGCTTCTGCTTCTGACCAGTCCCAGACCAGAAGGTATGCCACAAGCATTTACAACTTGAATTAAACATGTCTTAACTAACTATTGCCCGCGCAGTATATTCCCCCGAAGCCTTGTGAATAGTGTAAGTCTAGAAGCGCGTTCTCCATCACTAGAGGTTTTTGCACCTTCTATCCTTAGATACCTCCTTTAGTAGGTAGTTATACTAGGTATAGTGATCGTTGCATTATACAGATTCTATATTGCCGGCCAATGAAGATGGGTACTTGGATGAATTCTTATGACTAACAGCAGATGAAAAATAGAGAGAGGGATTTCTTTTTAATTTTGGTTGGTGGGTTGGCAGGTGGACAACACAGCTCTTTTTTTTCATATTTATATTTATTCCTCGGCGATCCTACGGCGGAAATGAAGGCCCCGCCTCCTCTTGGACACGAGGATGAAGACTACTTATGTACTATGTGTAGGTATATGTAGATGCAGATAGGCGTGTAGATGGGTAGGTAGGCAGGTAGGTCAGCACTTCCTCGTCGTAAACAGAACAAATAAGACGGGTTGACCACCAGTACATACCTAACCTTAGTCTAGTAGATAATAGGCATACTAGTACGGGTACCGGATCTCTATAGATCACATGCCAAGTTTTTGTTCTTACTCCCTCCCTCCCTCCCATCTTCCACGTTCTGACAAGCTTTTCTAAGCCGTCAATAAAGTCGTTCTAACCTAGATAGAGCGCAGCCGAATCGAGTTAGAATCCCCGAGGAAGACGGGTTAGCGAAGTTCTAGATCCACCTGTCAAGCCAATTTTGGTGTTGGAAGTAATTAGATATCAAAGATATCTTGATCGAGTAGACCAACAACGGAAAGAGCTTTGGTTCTTATCTATCTCATGACTGGACAACCGGTTTCAGCTGAGATTCCGGATGGATGTTGTCCGTTGGTTATGGGGGTGCACTGTAAGGCTGTGAGCAGTTAAGCATTCGGTGCTGCTTTCCGAATGCACGCCATGCCATGGACGTACCCAACAGATAGGTATATCCAAGCATCTAAGCAAGGGTCCGATGACTGCATCTCAATTCCTGTTCCTATTCCGAGGCCCCCTGCTGCGGTCTGTCAAGCAGTAGTGCTTAACCCACTGCCATAGGCACCGGCGGGTCTCTTTGATGCTGGGATGCCAAATCCATACGCTCGTACATGGTAGGTTACACTGTTAACTTCCTTTTCCATATCCAACACCCGTCGCGTAAATTCGTATTACGGTGCCCTATTCGTCTAGGTATGATGTATGATGAAGATCGGGTTTCCTCTGTAAGTTACGGGAATATAGACAAAAAGAGAAGAGTTAAGAATACCAGTCAGGAGTCAGAAGAATTAGAGAAATCTTTTACTTTATTTCGTGGTATATAATCGAACTTAGAGTGGCCATAGACATTACCAGCACTTGGGCTTCAAGTATGTTCTTGAGCTACTTCCATCAAGGCTAACCTCTATCTGAATTAACGTCGCCTATCCTGTGCGAAGAGCCGGGACACGTACCCAGGTCCTTGGGTAGACAGATATATGGTCTTTCCATATATGCTGCTTCTGAAATATTGCCCACGCTGATATCTACTTCTTCTCCAATACAAGAGGATTTCCGGGAACACGTTCAGGAATGGTTCAGGGCTGAAAGGGTATCGTAGAGGTACTGAAGTTGCGATTGCCTACCTAGTTTCCGCTCACGTCTTAGAGTGCCTCGAGTTTCTGCTGAAGATGGGGCCCTTCGATTCGAATGAGTGCCAAGAGGGAACTTGGTACCAACACAATATGTAGTACCTATAGATCTAAACCGCACAACTCTCATTTACCATGTATACCGTAGACGACAGGTATGGGTCTGAATACGCTGAACTCCTGGCCTGTGGCAACCAAGGTCCCCGGGATCTGAGGATGCCAATGGAGCTCCTTGGCATGCTCAGAGATATGCTCGAAGAGCAGTTGCGGCGGCATGTCCTTAACGCCCGCAGTATCTTTGCTCTCCTCGTCGTCCAACTCCACCGAAAGATCCCACAGAGTGACTTTGTGGTCTCCGGCCGCAACAGCCACCATGCTATCATCCGTAGGGTGCCACTCAATGCTGGTGATTTGCTCCTTATGGTAATTGAAACTTGCGATGGGACTTGGCTTCTGTGCGCCTCCTTTCCATTGTCGCAAGTCCCAAACACCCCAAACTCCGTCATCGGCACCAGTCGCGAGTAAATGTGTGGTCAGTCTTGACCACGACATGACATTGACGTCAGTGGAGCTGACTTGTACCGTAATGGCTGGTTTCCGGCTCTTGCTTCGCACGTCCCAAACGCGAACTGTGCCGTCGCTTGATGCAGAAGCGAACACCGACACCTCCTGGGGGCTCCATTGAATTTCCTCAACACTGTTGGTGTGGCCCTGGAAGGCCCTGGTGTCGGTCACCCAGCCTCCGCCGTCCGTTCTTGTTGTCACATATATGAGGCCATCATTATCGCCTGTTAGAAGTTTGCCTCCAGGAACCATGGGCGACCAATCAACAGCATAACCCTCAGATTTATGAGCTCGAACGGTCGAAAGCGGTTTGTTCTGCTGAGGGGTGATGATGGTTCCAGGGTTGTCAAAAGATGCTAGATGAGGAGTCACATCGTGTATGAAGACGTCGGTTGACTCTGTCATGGTTGCGGTAAGGGTGGTGGGTGGCTTCGAAGGGTCTTGGGAGGGAATCTGATGACTCCGAATGCGATTTGTAGTCGAGGTCAAGGGGATAGACTTGGACTCAAGAATAGGGTCGGCATCTTCGTCGTCATCATCATCATCTGATTCAGAATCTTCGATCTCCTTTTGCATGCGACTCAACCCGCTGAACTTCATGATCATCAACTGATTCTCCTTCTCCCGGCCACTCTCAGCCTGGGTACCGGCAACTGTATACATGGCCGCAGGGTAAGCCCTTTCTCGGCTATCTCCAAGTCGGTCGCGAACGATATCGAATGAGAGACATGGCCAGGGTGTGCTAAGGTTATGTAGCATTTCATAGGTTCCTAGATCGGGAGCAAGATGTTGGCCAGCTTCAAGCTTGTTACGGCCAACAATGAATGTCCCATTGTTGTTACTGTCGACATCCATAGCTCCAGCGGCGCGCTCTTCGGCCTCGCGCTCAGCATCTGGTCTACCATCCACACCAGCTTCGAATATCTCATCCTCACTCTCGAACTCGTCCTCAAATTCATCTTCAAAATCGCCCATTTCTTTATCGTTGTCTATATCCATCGGCTCGGGACGGCCACCTCCCTTGAGAGGGGTGATTCCATCTTCGTTCTCTGCTGTGCGTTTCGACATGACGCTTGATAAATGTAGAATTTGAGGGCCCTAAGTAGTATAATTTAATAGGGGAGGAGGATTCGAAGGTCAGTCCAGTAAATTAGAGTATAAATAACTGGGCGCAAGTCGCAATTGGGTTCGGGCGCAAATAGAAAAATCAAACATTGAAAAATAAAAAATAAAAAAATAAAAATTCACATCGATAAGTTTTTTTTTCGCCTACCCCTCCACAACCCCGCGATCTGTGGCTGTTGCACAGTGTATAAATATTTCACCGCCACATTTCAACATGCAAGGCGCTTACTCATCGCAGGTGATATCATATCAACATTGAATGATTAATAAGTCAAAGCCTTCCCTTCTCGACAACTACAACTTCCAACTTTTTACGTGATATATAATCATACTTCAAGTGCTCTTCTCATAAAACGAAATCATGACACGTGTGTTCCAGCTTGGCCTAATCATCGAGGCTGTTCTTAACATAGTCGGAGCTCTTCCGTTCGTTTTATATCCAGAATGGTGTCTCTCGTTCGCCATTGCTGTTGACCCTGAATCCGGTATCGTGAATGTGCCTCCAAGTTCTGCTTTACTCTGGCAGGTCTACGGTGTTCTCGTCCTCGCTCTTACTGTTCCTACCATACAATGCATTCCAAACTCCGAGGCTGTAGCCGAGAAGAGACGGTTAACTTTCAACACACTCATAGCCGGGGAGGTCTTTCTAGAAGCACTCTTGCTATGGCATATTTCCCAGCCCGATAGGAGCGGGTTCACTTCAACTTCGCTCATCCTCAGTGCGGTATTCTTGCTCCCTGCGCTGTCTTGGCATACGTTCGCTGTCTACATCATGCCTAGTCTTTTACAGAGCTACGATGTTCCAACCAAACCGGCCAAAAAGACGCTTTGAACTACCTACCATGGACAGCCTCATTGCACAAGGACCTCCGCTCCGTCACCACTCCTGTGCTCTTACACACCAAAATGGAGAACTAAAAGTCACTCTCCCATTGGTCTGTGACGGCCCCATGACTAGCATCCCCAACCAATCTTGCATATTTGGCCAGAACACCTCTCTTAGCCCTTGGCGGAGGAGCTTTCCACAATTTTCTTCTCTCCTGTAATTCCTCATCACTTACATTCGTCATGTCTATCCTGTTCTTGATAGCATCAATGACAATCGTGTCTCCATCCTTGACTAATGCAATGGGACCACCTCTGGCAGCTTCTGGCGTCACATGACCGACAATGAAGCCGTGGCTGGCACCGCTATATCTTCCGTCTGTAACGAGCGCAATATTCTTTAGTCCCGCACCCATGATAGCTGCCGATGCCCTCAGTTGTTCTGGCATTCCCGGTCCACCTCGTGGGCCTTCGTATCGAACGACGAGCACTAAATTCTCATCTCGCGGGATGGCGCCCTTCGATAAGGCCTCGTCGAGTTCGTGTTCTTTGTTGAATACTCGAGCCTTGCCTGTGAAACTTAGACCCTCCTTACCCGTGATCTTAGCAACAGCACCTTCTGGGGCAAAATTCCCCCGGAGGACTCGAAGATGTCCCGTTTCTTTGATGGGGTCGGAAAGTGGCCGGATGATCTTCTGGCCTGGTGACAAGCTTGGCCAGTCGGCTACATTTTCTGCAAGCGTGCGACCCGTGACAGTTGGAATATCGCCATTGATCAAACCAGCCGCTATAAGCATCTTTAACACAGATGGGGTACCGCCGACCTTGTACAAATCCTCCATCAAGTATTTCCCGCTTGGTGCTAGATCTGCCAAGAAGGGGGTCTTGTTGCTGACCCTATCGACATCCTCGAGAGCCAACGGTACTTCCGCTGTGTTTGCCATGGCTAGGAAATGTAGTACACCATTAGTTGACCCACCTAGTATCATGGTAAGAACTAGAGCATTCTCAAATGACTCTTTCGTCAGAAGGTCTCGTGGACGAATGTCTTTCTCCATGGTCACTTTGATAACCTCGGCGGCCCGTTCGCACTCACGGGACTTTTCCGGAGACAAGGCGGGATAGGACGATGATCCAGGCAATGTAAGCCCCATCGCTTCTAACGCCGTTGCCATCGTATTAGCTGTGTACATGCCACCGCAGGCGCCTGCGCCTGGGCATGAGTGATGCTCGATATCCGACATCACATCACTCGGCGTTCGTCCCTCGATTCCAGGGTTCGTCTTGGCATGAAGCTTGCCATACGTCATTGCTCCCGAGGCCTCGTAGCAGGTGCTCACATTGACATCTCTCTCTAACAGTTCCGAGTACCCCTTTTGAATGGCTCCGCCGTACTACAAGCTTGAAGTAAGCCGATGCTTGGTTACCGGGATACCCAATCAGGTGTGCAGCAACAAGGGGAGAACTTCACGGTGGCATGTCAACTTACAATCATGATGAAAGGCCTATTGTGGCGTGCAGCAGCCATGACGACACCTGGCATATTCTTGTCGCAGCCAGGGATTGCAATGTTGGCGTCGTGGTGCTGTGCGCAAGTGACAGTTTCGATGCTATCGGCAATAATATCCCGGGACTGAAGCGAATATCTCATGCCTAGTCCCCGGGTTCGGGTTCAGTGAGTGACACAATCAAGCCCAAGGTGGAAGATTCATAGCTGACCTTCGTTACCCATCGTAATAGCGTCCGAAACCCCCACGGCATTGTACTGCCACCCTAGCATCTTCTGCTTTTCTACCGCCCTCTTCACAATCTTTCCAAACTCAAGGACTATCCAAGTCAGCACTACTATGGACTTGGGCACCTTTTTGTGAATGCAGTTACTTACGATGTGTACTGTTATTGGCCATCGTTAGCAATTATGACGGGCTATAAGCAGATGGCCGTTGTGAATATATTAAAGATGTATGTTACCTACTTGCACTATACGTGGAAAGTCAGCAATCATAAGTTAGGCCCCTCGTGTTGATATGCGAAGGCTTTGAACTGATCATGGCTCTAGGATCGAAGTCCTGGCCCCCTCCATCAGAATACGGGGAGGGAAGGGGAAAGGAGGTAGAAGAGAAAAACGGTCGATTGCATACAGGATTACCCTCCCACCACACTGTAGCAATACCAACATGGGGAGCATTCTTCATCATCTCTTCATTTGGCACCCCAGCACCATACAACATAGCCTAGACCTACGTAAGAACAAGTACTTTGTCGATTTCGTAGCGAACACACCTGAGCTCCTGGATAGTCATGCCCCCGCGTGACTTCGTGAGACCAGCGATTCAATGGGCCGCCGGGCGGTAGGCATTTGAATTGGATATATTGCGGGTCTGCCTTGGGATCATCAAGGAGGCCAGAGCTATAGCCTGTCGTCGCCGGTGTATTACTCATAGTGAGTCTGGGTGGCTTTTCTTTCTTTTGACTTGACTGGGGAGACTACCTATAGGGTTTTAGTTTTTTTTCAGCTACCTATACAGAATAAGAGGATTTTACCTCGATCGTCTCTCTGAAGCAGACAGGATGAATTCGGTTTTAAATACTGGAGCAGGTATATTTTCAACTCTCATAGTACTGCGGGGTAAAGCCGTAAATAAATCCAATCGGGTATGTGACGGTCTCGAGGTTCGGAGATTTTCATAGCGACGATTTGGAGGAGACGGGGGATAATGCCCGGGCCGGAGCGGAGTTGCAGTGGTTAAGTTCCTGTGGGTGTGGAGCTCAGTTTGCAAATACACGAGAGACGACTGGTTCGTAGCAAAAGAGATTACCTTGACTTATCGTCATAGCATACCCACAACGTTCTATTTCCCACCCCAGACATGGGGTATGGGCTAGCGTTGCGCCTATCCTCAAAAATGCTTGGTGGCTTGGTGGCATGTCTCCTGGTTCATTAACCGAGTTCAGTTTCGGTCGTCTCCAAAACTTCGCGAGGGTCGGTGCCGAAGCCGGGAGGGGGGAGATGTGGAGGTGTCTAAGTTAGATAGTTTACGCATGACACTTACCCCTGACTGATCCCCCTGATCGAGTGAATGAGTGAGTGGTGAAGAAGACACGAGACTACACAAGTAGACGGAGTAACCTAGTTTGGTGGATAGGTGGTTCGAGTCAAGGAAGAACTCATCGTGGGGGAGGTTACTAGTATACGTAGTATTTCGGCATACACCATGAAATCAATAATCGTGTCTATATACCTAGTAGGCATACTACTAGGTTAGGTAGGTATTCGGTACCTATGTTAAGCTTAAGCGAAATTCGCTTCACGTTCTACTACTCTAAAAATAACCACTAACTACCAAGGTAAGTAGAATATCGCTCCTTCTAAAATGTCAGATATATGTTTGTCTACCCATCTATCAAAGCCTCTTGAGCCTAGCTCTGCGAGCCTTTCGCTTCCCACTCCTCAAACCCACCAGGATACTTGTCGACGAGTTCGCGCATACCGGATATGATCCTAAGATGACGATTAGACTCATGCCTACCCTAGGTATGATGGAGAAATTCAAATCAGTCAAAGTTAGATAGCTAGCTTCACTTACATATGTCGGTAAGTGGGATCGTCCTTGTATAATATAGAGTCGAGAACGTTGACTCGGCTATGTGCCCCGATAAGGATTTTCTTGTTAGTCCTGGGTTCTTAATCATTCAAGAGATAAACTGCTTTTGTCGTGAATGACAGATAGATAGATACATAGATACATAGATACATAGATAGATACATAGGAGATGGGGAGTCTCACGTTGCATACAAAGCATTCCGATCATCACAGTCTTCCTGGGGCGCTGACGGGGGGAAGTGCTTGTGGTATTCCGTCCGATAGGTCCCGTCGATACGATTCCACGGTTGGCGCCAGACACCGAGGTCATCTACTCCCCTCCTGCTCTGTCAGATCATAATGCACAACGAAATAAGAAGGCTACTAAGTAGGTACCCAATTAGGTAGGGAGGGAGGGAGGGAGGGAGGGAGGGAGGGAGGGAGGGTACGCACACTCATTGTGAGCATAAAAGGACGCCGCGTCAAAGATGACGGGCCGCCCGGTCTCCGCGTCCGTCTCCGCGTTGCCGTGCCACAGGTCCCCGTGTACGAGGCACGGGCTGATGGAGCGGCCGCCCGTTTCCATGGGTCGGAGGAGGCGCGGGATCACTTTTTCGAAGAAGGGCGTTATCAGGGATTGGATCTCTTCGTTGGGGCCCTGGAAGTAGGTAAATATGGTTGGATATCATGTATCTCGCGCGTGAGAAAACTGTGTGGGTAAGGAAAAGAGGATGAGGCCGGGAACGGAATGGGAATGGGCATGGGAATGAAAAAGAGAAGCCAGCCAACTCACCCGCGCCTTCTGCTCAAGCTCAAACAGCGCCCTCGTAGTCCTCGCAAAGTAACTCTCCCACGAATCCTCCCAGCCGTGGTCGACGCGCACATTCCCATGGAAAGTCGGGATGTCGGATCCGAACCTCCTCCTCCCACCACCACTACCATCAACACTATCGCCAGCAGCAACAGCAACAATACTCCGCAAGTGCAGCTCCGCGACCTGTCTCGCGAGCACCTCGGCGCGAGGGGTCTCGCCGGTCATGGCGCGGAACTCGCAGAGCAGGAAGTGGATGTCGGGAGGGGTGGTGGTGGTGGTGCCGGCGTAGGTGCCCCAGGCGAGGGGCGCGGGCGCGAGGTCCGGCATCACGGCGCTGAGGTGGGCCATACTAGTGAATTCGCTGGCGAGCATGGCTTTGCCGTGGGCGCTGTGGGATGTCTGTTTTTACATTAGTAGGGAGGCGAGTACGTAGATTGAAGCACGCAGGTGTTGGCGTTGGATTTATTAGGTGTCTGAATACCTTGAGAAAATATGCTTTGGGAGTCCCATCCTGTTGCTCTACATCTATGCGAGCTGTCCGCGTCCAGAAACTGCTGCCGTGGGTGGCGATCTTGATCACTCGGGTCCCGGGCGGAAGTTCTGTTGATTACATAGTAGACTCGTCAGTGATTCGTTCTGCTGACAGTACTTTTTTTCTTTTTTTCAAAAAGAGGGAAAAGGGGGGGTGGGGGCCAAAGGGTGAAGAAAATATGTAAGCGTCCTCACTATTAATGACCGCAGGGTCTACAACCTCGACAGCTTCCATCGGGGCCATCGTGTCTTTAATATTGTGAATCTCTTCAGTTCCCATTTTCAAGGTACAAATAGATAGCGCCACCAAGCTTTATTTATTCTTCTAAAAGTTCTCTCAGGTCCGAGTACGGAGGAGGAGCAGGCGCTAAATTTCATCAATATTCTCATTCTCAGATGAGAGACAAGTTATTCAACTACCTACTCCCTACGCGACAGAAGGGGGTTTAAATCTCAATGACAAACAAAATAGTGACGACAGGTCCTGCCACGAAGCCTACAAACTCATCATTTAACCGAAGAACTCATATTCAAAACCTGAATCTGTAGTACGCGCATTGGTGATAACTGGTTCTGTGTTCCTAGAATCAAGCCAGCACTTACTTAACAACATAGTACACCAGATGCACACATTCACGTGTATTTGCCTCCTCGGTAAAAATAAGTAAACAGCCCTGTGTACAAGGCAATCTCTTCATTCGTGAGAGAATTTTATTCTTTAAAAAAGCTGGTTGCTTTCAGAGTCGAGAAGTCAAAGTAATGTACAAAAATATTCTCTCTCAGAAAAAAAAGGGGTATTGCGTCTGAAATCATAAATCATGCTAACAAGAGGAAAAGAAAACATCCATCAAAGTCATACATACATATTGAAGTGTATTGTAGCTAGAGGCCGTTAATCGCATACGACATAATGTCCTCGCGGTGTTTTCCAAGTAGATAATCAACAACCAAGGCTCCTGATATGCCTCCCTCTGAAACAAATAGATATCCTTCACATATCTGGTTTATGTCCTGCTATGCTTAGATGTGCTACGCTGGAGAGAGGCTAGAAAGGCCCTGTGCAAACAAGAAAGCAACCCAAACTGCCTTGGCTACAAAGCCAGTGCGATTCAAAAACCCAGGATAGAAAGGGGGACGGTAGTCGTTCATTCAAAGATGATCGTCATACTGGTCGTCAAGTGGCCCAAATAGAGCCAAGTGGTATATAAACGGAAATGTAAGGTGAAATGTAGGTATGAGATAGCACCAGAGGAAACTGAGGGAGCACAGGAGAGAGAAGACGGGACGGAAAGGGTCAGTGGATGGCTTAAGATCAATAATTGGCTACGCCAGAAGGGAAAGTAATCCCAATGGCAGGTAGGTAGTTAGATACCTCATGGACTAAGGTAGAAGGAGTTAACTCGAGTTTGAGTTGGGATACTGGCTCCGAGGTTCTGACTACCCAGAGATCATTCCTAAGCACCAGCCACCACACCGACGCTTCTTTCCTCTTCTAGTCGCCGAACTAATTCTCGTTCCTTCGGGCTCCGCGGATTGGCATCAATGCCAAGGATGGCACTGATACGGGTCTTGTCATTCTTTTCATAAATGCCCTCGCGCTCGTTGGGACTCGTGACCGGCGTAATAAGAGTTTGACCACCCATAGCCAGCATGCTCGCCTTCCATGATTGTTCCAGGACAATGGGGCTAATCCCCGAGCCGTACTCGGATGCGATAGCATTCCAAAATGATGATCGATGCGCCGAGTATATTGATTGAAGACGAGGGATGTCTACATGAGCTGGCGGCGGTGGTAGGGTACAATCGAGTCGAAGGACTGGTGCCAAGCCATTCGGAGAAGGTTGAGGAAACGGTGATGGTCCCAACGACCGAACATCTGGAACCGAATAATGGGCCGGATTGTTACATGAAGGCGTTGGAGTTGTGCCCGCCAGAGGGATGGAAACGGGTTTCGGGAGAATGGCTGGGAGCCGAGGCGATGTAGTGGTTGTACTCGTTATGATACTGGGAAGTTGCACCGAGGTTGCATAACTAGGTGAATCCGGCTCTTGACCAACGGCACTCAGAGGCGAGGAGTTGTCAGGGAGAGAACATTCCTGAATGGGCGACGGAATAGTAGCCGGCAGTATAGGTGAATGTCCTCTGGAGGAACCTGAGGATACGGACGTCGTTCGCTTGCGGCGGTTGCTTCCATGACTAAGTTGATGGTAATGAAGACGACATGCCAACTCCGTCTTTTTCAAATGAGCAGCGATGTGCTTGTATGGCATCTTCTGTAAACGGGTTTGCAGGAGGTAGACTTCCTATCGTCAAATCCATATTAGTCACGTTACCAAGGAGTCCGTAGTCGACTTATTCGCACCTCATCCTCGCTCCAAGCTCTCCCCCCACCCGTCGAAGCTGTCATCTTTCTATTCTTCGTGATTCCATACTCATGACGATCCAGGGCATCGCTCGTAGGCGTATATGGAACCCCCGAAGACGTCGCCAACTGTAATGGCGGGGACATCATGACTGTAAATTCGTAAGGGTAAAATGTAAATAGGTTAGGATAATGTAATGTGTTGACGCAGTCTTAACGAATCGAAGAGGTTCAAAATAAATATTGAGAGAAAAAAAAGGAGCAGGCCGTGCTGCTTCAAGAATCGAAGTGGTGGAAAGTCGTCGGTTGATACTATCGCGACATGTGAATGTATGTATCGAGCGGTTTTGTAAGCTATTCGGTGCTTCCCCAATGAATCGTCTATGGACCTCGTGCTCGTCACTTTGTAGATCAGACGATGGAACTAGAAACCGAAACCGAGTCGAATAAAAAGTCCGCAAAATAGGTCAAATAGCATCGACGACCAAGTAATTATTCAAAAGAGCGTAAGCAGCCAAGCCAGTTGGACGATGAAAGAAAGTGGTCGCTAGCTGCGAAGAAAGAAAAGAAAGGAAGTTCGCAACAGCGTTGTCAGTGATGCAATAGTTGAACCAATACAGCGGTAAAGAGGGAACAAAAACAGAAGAAAGAGAAGAAGAAAATATGAGAGCAAGTGAGAGGAGAGGCAGATAATAATGATAATAATCTTCACCACATCATGATACTCGGCCGACACAGGCCTATACTAACTAGGGTTGATATGGCCGGGGGGTGGACACCAACTCGACTCAACCTCGCAGGTCCTCGCAGGTCCTCGCAGGTCCTCTCAGGCCCTCGCATGCCTTAGGAGGTATACTAGGTACCTTTTCGACTAGAGCCCTTGTGAGCCCTTGTATGAAAAAAAGCTTGAAGACGGGGTGGATGCGACGGTAGCGGGAGCATAATCTTGGCTTGATGCTCTGGGCCAAGCTGACATCCATTTGCAACGATTCAAAACAACGACCCCGGCCAGAACAAACCTTGGGAGAAGATCAAGTCCACTTCCTTCTTCCGAGGTCCTTGATATGACCTCAGAGTCCGTCTAGTGATGAAACGGATGAGCCTGAAAACCGATTTCAAAGGAGATCAAGCTAGAAACGCACAACACCCATGTACCGCTCAGGTGTGTTGTTTGGTTATGTAGATGCTAGCTGGCTTTTGTTTGTTGGTTTCGAAAATGTTATAGTTAATACCTAGTAACTAGATGACTGTGAATCGAATCGTCAACCACAATGCTCTTCCATTCTCTTGGTATGGCTGATGGCTGATGGCTAATGGCTAATGGGATAAGAATTGCACGACTGGTGCGGGATGTATGTAACACGATCTATAGCCATATAACTAGAGTACCGTATATTTTCGGCATTATGGTCCTCTTGTTAGCTCCACTTATTTGTGCGCCTTGCCCAATGTGGTTAGTTCAGTGCTGAGGCTCTAGTATTAGTGTTATCAAAGTCCACGTGATCATAATTCTACCTATCTTATTTTTGTGTTTTTTCAATAAGGATAGGTTTAAAGTGTTATGCATTAATTAAGAAGCTTTAAATATCCATACATTTATCAAGAAATAACAGAAAAACGTAGATATTGGAGAGCAGGTATCACGTGCTGACACGTGACATTGCGTGCTCATATTGTTGGAATCGGATAAGAATCCCTCCGAAATGAGGTGTAGTTGAATAAACCTTGGGGTAAATCACCCTAATTAGGTAAAGCGCATTAATAAGTGGAGCTAACAAGAGGACCATAATGCCGAAAATATACGGTAACCACTACTAGTAGTACGTACTAGGTTATCTATGTAGGACCATTGTATGTAGGTAGTGTCAAGTGATGAAGTAGGTATGCATTTGTTTTCATGTTCTGTTCCATCTAAAACCCCCATGGTCGTTTCAACGACCGGATAAATAGACAAAAGAATAGAAAAATAGCTACTAGCTAGAACAAAATAGAAAAACAACAAAAAAGGGCGGTTTCGGTTTCGGATTACAAGGAAAGTCCCTATTCTACTATGTAGGGCTATCCTTCTTCTCAGTCGACTCCCCTATTTCGTACTACCTTGATTAGTATTAGTTGGGGTTTATATTCGGGTAGTCGGCCGACTCGTCCTGGATGCCTGGATAGCATCATCATCTTTTTACGTAGCGTAATGTAGCAGTAACAAACTGTGCATGTGGGCTACTGGGCTGCTGGGTTACTGGGCTGACGGGCTGCTATTCAGGTGAATGAATGTGGCTTCGTGTGGTTTCGAAGGTGGAAAAGAAAGAAAAAGCAAAAAACAAAAAAAACAAAAAAAAAGGGTTGAAAATGAAAAAGGGTCTGTGTCTGGAGCTTAAACGTTGAAATGTTTGACATGGTTGAAATGGAGCTAAGTTTTAGCTAGGTTTTGTATGGACGTTGCTTCACCGTGTTACAGAGAGGCGCTTACTTGGGTTTACAGGGAATATTACTGGCCGTTTCAACCCCGCTACGACGTTGGAAGTCTTTGGTCCCCGGCTACCATGGAACCTTTAAAGCCCCAGGGTGCCCCTTCTTTTGTACGGCATAGTAGAGATCAAGGTTGTTTAGTTCAGCCGCCCGCGGCTCTGCTACTGCTAACTTAACCTAGTCACCCTAGTGCCATGTGTAGGTACAGGCCTCGGCACAGCCAGGTACCCAGTACTACTGTACCCCTAGTACACAAGTACCTACCTCAACTAATTAGGTAAGTAGATACAATGGAAGATTCCGAGTTTAGCTATCCGAGTTAAGCGATCCTAGCCCTATAACATCCCGAGTCTATAACATAACCCACACCCCGTATAATCTCCCCCTGTTCTGTTCCGTGCTTCCTTTTCAACATTACACTATTAATTATTACAGTGACTACCAAGTACATACAATCCCACGATCATTCAATGACATTCATTGATGGGCCAGACTGATCTGTTTGGTTTCGTAAAACATTACTATCAGTAACTAGTTATTGCTACATACATTCCTTTTACTATACCCATTTCTTCATCTCTAGGTGAGGAATGCCATGTCTGATGTCCTTATTACTATGTACAGTAAGATGAAGCGTGTGGTTTGCAAACAACATTCAATGCTGAAGGCGTTCAAGCTAACATTTCAAGTGCCACAACATGCTTCGAAACTACTATGATAGTAGGTAACTATTATCTACACAGCTAAATGGTGCACACTTGCGGCACACAACCCACCTTCATGGTCCGAAAAGCCGGATCTTCGGCGCTTGGAGATGCAGAATACTCACTAGTGCTACTATGTGGAAACATATCCTGGCTATTAATTGATTTGGCCCCGGCCTATTGAAACTTGATATGAGCCAGCATCAATATCTAAAGTTATCATAGCACCTCCGTGGCGTTTGCTGTCATATGTACGAACTTATTCGATCTTCGTATCTCGATTGTCTCAGGAACGACAACCCCTACACATGCCCTACACATGCCCTACACATGTCGTACCAAACGCCTGGATACCGTAGTCTGTCTAGAGTTCCAGACCCCGAGGCCCGAATAGTCGTGACTTGAAGTCGGCGACTACTAATACGTAGATGATTTTCAATGAGGGCTCCGTCACTGCTAGGATACTATCTACTCACATAGATAGATCACCTAGGTAGTTATTACCTAGCAGTAGGTAGGTATTCGTATCTTGAAGCATTGAGGAAACCACATCAAAACATATTTATCGCCGCTAGAACAGAGAAACTGGCAGCTGACCTCTCTCGAAACGCTGATAACACTTCATACTTGATACCAGGGTTAGATATAAGCGGTAGACAAAACTCGCAGCTTCTGACACTTATCTGTATTAGGCCACTGTCCGCGAAAAAAAAAGAGGGCGCTCGAGAGTATCGAGATCTCAGCCTTCTGCAAAACGATTGCTTTCCAACCATCCTTCTCTTGCGATCAGCAAGGCATCATGCTCCGCAACTCTGATCGCATTCTGTTCCCATCCCAACCAACTATCGCCTAGGTAGGTAATCATTGATTTTCTTCCTACGCGGGGGATCGCCGTCGATTGCCCATGCATTGTTTGCATGAATTTGAACCTCGTAGATATCGTCATCTCTCCACGTTGTTTTGGATAAGAAAGGGTCTCAGGTCTAAAAAGGGGATGCCAGTTTGAAGGGACTAACCTAAGGCGTCCCCATCTCATGCGAACACTCAACAGCCACCCACGCTGAATATGATCTGGGTTAGTTACAAAGCAAATCTGCCTTGTCGGGCTGACTGGAGAATGGTAGATTTTGAGAAGACTCGCGATCTCGGCTCGTAATAAGGCAATCAACTCAGTTGCTTGGGTAGGTAGGCATTTACGGCATAGTGAGGATACGATATCTCGGTAACTCGATAGGGTACCGACCATTGAATTTATCTGCGTGTCTCTGGATTAGTGGTTTATTAGATCTACAGTTGTTTCCAAAGTGTAAAACATACATTAAACCCTACATATGTACTGTACTATGTAGAGAATGCATGTGGGTTGATGTTGCTCAGGGTCTACCGTCCACCTACCTACGTACCGAGATACATGTACGTAGACAAACCAGGGGGGCGTGTACTGCACATGTGCGTTAAAGCTACCCTTTAGATAGATAATCACTTATCAATCCCCTTACCCATAGAGACATCTGGGCCTACCTATGGACCTCACCTATGCATGTTGCTACCTATTACATATGTATGTCTCCAGGGCTACCTACATGTATATCATGTAGGTTTGTTCCCAGCCCCCTGCTCGTGCCTCATGCAGCATTGCTCTCTTTTATGTAGGTCACCGCCAGTCCAGTCGTCATGGCCAGAGTCGCAATTCCTAAAACCTGTGCTCCGACAGTTTGTTACCTCCATAGTTTCACTTCTTCAATCTTCTCGAAGGGGCACATGAACACGTTGTGTCGGAAGTGGACCGTTTTGGTTTGGCTCAGCCGTCGATCAAGCATCTAAGGGAGGGGAGGGGAGGGGAGGGGAGGGGAGACCAGATGACAGTTGTTTCTACTCAAACTCAAAGCAATGTACGGCGGCTTTCAACAAAGGAGTAGACCGGCAATGATGGGATGAATGACAGCTCGGACTTGATAAGTGACCATCTTGATACCT